CGGCACGCGGTACACCAAAGACATCGAGATCGTACGCAAATGCTCGTGCGCCAGAAAATGCTATTGACTACCAGGCCCCTCCATAGAACGACCGCTCCGACCCACCGTACCTCCAACAACGCCATCATCGTCATCGCACCAGTCGCCGTCATCGCACCCGTCGCCCACGCAGGTGATCGTCGTACTACCTCACGTCCCTGGCGGTGCCGCCGCCGCCGCCGCCGCCGCTGTCAACGATAACGCCGTCAACGGCGTCCGCCGCCGGCGGACTCGACCGGACGGCCGTCTCCAGCAGCAGCAGCACCGGCCTCCGCACCGCGGTTGGGCCGACGACGTGTTCGCGTACGCGAGCGTGTACGCGGCGATCTCGGTCGCCGTCGAACTGTCGATCGTCGTCATCTGGTCGATCACCGTTTGTATATATCTTCTTCTGCCGTAACCGCCCTTGCACCTTAGTATTATTATTATTAATTATTTATAACTATATTTATATATAATATAAAATACGTATGACGATTGCGACGGCCGTGTAAGAGGCAGAAAGTCGTAAGTGCGCTCCCCCCCCCCTCGCCCACAACACGAAAATTAAAAAAAAAAAAAAACTACTCAATCGCCTAAATACTTATATCACTATAATCGTTTTCGATTCGTCGTTATCGTAATATGACCCTCGTAGATCTCTATTCGATACTTTGGCCGCCACCGTCAGTGTCCTTCGAATTTCCTCGGTCGCGAACCCCTCGCCCCCCTCCCACCAATCGCTCTACAGGTATTTCCGTATGCCGTCCGCCCGACGTTTCTCCGGGGACCTTCGTCCGCGGGGCCGCCGTCCAGCGCACGTTGTCCGCGGAATATAGTTCAGGGATAAAAGAACCAACCAACGAAAATGTCCGGCATTTTTAACGTATCCAATGCACCGAAAATTCCAATATTCTAAATGTCCGATGTACAAAATAGTCGTAAAAAAAAAAAAAAATTCAAAATTCTGATTGAAAAAATACGAAAATTTCCGGTCGTAAAGAGAAAGTTTTCTATGATGGTCGTCGACGTTAGGTTTATTATTTTGTTCCTAAATTTTTTACAGTTCGATCGGTTATATCGGTATACGGAAAAGTCGTTTATACAATATACACATTATATACGTACATTTTGACGTCACTTCAAACGTATTCAAACGGTACACTTATACGACCTGAACGTTTTTCGCTCGAAAATAGGGAACTTTTTGATACAATGGACACGCTCCGTATAGGACCATGCGATGTTACAATGACGGTCTATATGCATGTAACGAATGTTGATTGTGATGCGCCGAAACCATAAATTATGCAAACGAAAAATACGATCGCGTTATATCGGAACTTGATCGTGCGTATCGGAAGTTTCCCCCAACCCCAGGACCTGAGTATAGTAATAGTGTTGTCGATAATATTATAATGGTCGTACATTTTAATACTCATTAGAATCGATAGAAATAGACCGAAAAAAAAAAAAAAACTCTGCGGCCAATCAATCACCGTCTACAACGGTACGAGCTTTAGTGTTTTTAAAAAAAAAAAAAAAACCGAAAAATATTCGTAAAACGGCCCTCCTGTAAATAATTAATGCGCTAATTTCGACGCGCGCACGATTTTCGGCCTCCTATATCCGCCGTCGGTATCGTTGTCACTCGCCAATATACCTACCCCGAATGCCTAACATCGTTCTCCTATATAGTTATATTATAACTATACAATTATAATTATTATTTTGTCATTTTTTTTTTCTTTTTTTATTATTATACTTATATTTATTTATTTTTTTTTTCGAGTACCTACTAATTTATTTTACTTACGATATTTTATTTTTTTATATTTTTTTTTTTATTATTTTATACGTGTTTTAAAAAAATATCAACGATACATAATTATATTATTATTATTATATTAATTTATATACCTACTTAAAACGAAACCTCCCCCCCCCCGTACGATTATGTTCTATCGATTCCCGTATTGTTCAATAATCTCGCCTTGTGTTGTAAATCGTATTGCTAGCCCGTTCGAGCCGATAACAAACCAAACAAAATACTCCAATACGTTTACTATAATATAGAAACTATACCGACGGGAAACTCTTAATGCGGTATAACATATAAGTATTACAATTACACACACACACCCCCCCCCAACTCCCCGTGAGCGTGTCACTCGTAATGACTTTTTATAATTTCGTTTTTTGTAATAATATACCGCGTAATTTTTTTTATTTTTTTATTTTTTTTTTTTTTTTTTTTTTTTTTTTTTTTTTTTTTAGACGAAATTTATAGTATAGTTATAACATAATACAGTACACATAAATGTATAGTGTAGTCTTTGTGCAAAACGTACAATACTATGATCGCGAAAACCTCGGAGGGCGACATTTGGAGACGGGAAAAAAAAAAAAACCGCTAAACGACCGCGCCGCCCTCCCCGCCCCGGCCACGAGTGTTGGACAACGGTTTTAAACGAGCTGCGCTATCGTATACCGCGCGCGTGTGTGTGTATTTATCGAAGTCGGCCCCGTCACCGAAACCCGTCGGTTTTTCTTGCCGCGGCCCGAACACTGTCGGGAAAAAAAAAAATAAATTAATAATAAAAAATCCGATTCGGTCCATACGGAAGTACTGCAGTGCGCGTGCATTTCATATCCGTGTCTCCGGGAACGGTAATTAACGGAGAAAACTAAAAAAAAAAAACAAAACAAGTCGGTAAATCGCCGTGTCCCGCGATCTCTCCGCCGAACACGCGAACCGCGGCCGGATCGAAATTCGAAAAACGGGAGTCGGCCCGAGACCACCTAACCGCCGCGTTTTCGCCATTGACCACGCGTACACCGTTTTGTCGCGATTCGTCCGATCGAATTCGTTTCCTCGGAAAACCGCTCGGCGGGCCCGGGGACAATGCAAACCGGACGGGTAATCGGGGGCGCCGCGAGAAACGGCCGGTCGCGGCCGCGGGTCTTCGACGATAATAACAATGTGACTGTTGGGGGAAATAAAAAAATAAAAACAAAAAAAAAACAAATTTCGAAAAAAAAAAAAAAAAAAACAAAAATAAAATATTATTATTGACGATTGTTTACGCGTAACGCGTGCCGGTGACGATACGAACGACGCGTTGTCTATTGTGTACAAATATTAATTTAAATACATTCTCTGGTGCAAATCGGTTAAAGAGCAAGAAGAAATTTATACTATATGCAAACGAAATAATAGTGATCGCCGTCATTATTATTACTATCATACTATTATTATTATTATTATTATTATTATTATAGTGTTGGTGTGTACGTTTCCGGAGCGAGAGAAAAAAGGCACGCATCAAATTTTTTTTTTTTTTTTTTTTTTTATGTGCGGAGGGGCCTTTTTCGATGTTTTTTTTTATATATATATATATATAATATAATATATGTACGTCGTATTTTTTTTTCTTTTCTGTATAGTGTACAAGACGTGTGTAGAGTTCGTTAATGATGATAAAAAAGAAAAAATGCATTAAAAAAAAATAAAAAAAAAATAAAAAGTTTATATATTATTATTATTATATTTATTATTATTATATACGTATATATTAAAAAATAAAAATTTTAAAAAGTGAAAAAAAAAAATGTATTTATATAGGCATAAAAAAACTTGACCGGAATACGATTATTATTATTATTATTATTATTATTATTATTATTATTATGGATAATATACCCAGATGTATTATTATGTAACGACATATATTTTTCCTCCCCTTTATATCGCCCGGAAAATAATAAATTTATAAATTTTTTTTTTCTTCTTTCTGTAAATAGACCAGTGTTTATATTGTTCTTTTTTTCCGTGCACGGACGTTATGGAACGTATTCACGATATAATTTATCATCTATTTCCGATATATTATTACCGCGATCAAAACTAGCGTGCATCAAAAACAATGCGGTTTCGCCGAAAAACGTAATCTAAAATTTACAAAGTTTTTTTAAAAAATGTACCTGCGCACAAGAGTCGTCAGTTATAAAATTTGTGGGAAAAATAACCTAAAATTCAAATTTAGTTTTCAATAGCTTTTTTTTTTTTCTATAGCAGTCGTCGAAAAAAAAATGTCTCGTTATTCAAATTCTCGGGTTAACGACAATATTCTTATCCAATAAAGTATTCTAATCCAGTTTCCGGTTACGCGAACAAATCCCACTCTCGACGGCGGCGCGTAAAAACCGTAAGCCCGTTTTATAAGACTCGGAATACTATTTAATTTTTCATGTACCACTTCCGAGTTAATTTCGGCATTTTGTTTTTCTTACGGTTTCTCTACATCACTGACCACAGTAGAAAATGGTAGAGAACCAAAAATAAAACCCCTAGTCTGTACCGATCGGCGGCAGCGTTTTAAATTCTCGTCAAAATCGGGGTTAACCTAAAAAAAAAAAAAAAGCCAAACTATTTACTTCTGCTCCTCGCTCCCCCCCCCACCCCTTGTTGGGACTATTTATTACGAACAAGATTATACAATATTTAAAAGTCTGCCCCCGTCGATGAAACCTATCAGTTTTTTTTTTTTCAAATCCTCAATCGCAATGGTTTCAACAAAAATTAACGTACAACCCGTATGGATAACTTACTATTAACTATTACTACTACTACTACTACTATAATATAGACGCTTTAGACTAATAATTATAAATAATAACGCTTATATTATTATTATATATATATATCATAAAATATATTTTAAGTTCCCAAATATTATATAATACAATAATAACAACAACTTTGTTTATAAACAATGTTGTTATTATTGTAATTTACATTATTGACCCAATATTATTGATGTTTTTAAATATATTATTATTAAAACATGTTTTTTTTTTTTTTTTTCTGAAAATCTTAAGTATAAAAAATTATGTGTGTGTGTATATATAATAAGAATATATTATATTATATACAATAATGATGTTTGTGTATAACAAAGTGTTTTTATTAAGCGATAATTGTACAGAACTATTTACATAAATCACGGTTTACTAATAAAAATATAAACATCACAGTATGCGGTATCTAGTGTTAATGTCGCCATGTAGGGCAGAAAATAATACACGGCCAAATAGGCACAAAAAACACAATATCTTACAACTAAACACAACAATAGTTTAAAATAAAAAAAATCTAATTTATATTTTTTTATATAATTTAACAAAGAGTTTACATAAATAACATACTTAGTAATAAATAATGTAACAAAAACTTAATGCATAAATAATTCAAAATATAATATCATATTGGCTGTATAATATAAATAATATAATAAATTTTCATAATTTAATTAACAGATAACATAAATATAGCAATAATATTAAAAACATTTTATAGATTGAAAAAGTAATAACAAAATAAACAAAATGTAGGTTATAAAAATCTGAATAACATATGATAAATAAAACATATAAAAATGTCAACCAGACAAAAGGTGTACGATATTCTCTTGAGAATAATTGCCGGTAACATATAATTTTTGGGCGATCTTACGTCTTTCTTCGTGGATTTCCAAGATTTTTGACTCTAGTGTGTTTGAGCATACAAAATTATATATGTTTATGGGTTTTGTCTGGCCCACTCTACGAATGCGATAGCAAATTTTAGATTGCCACTGGGGATTCCAATGTGCTTCCGTAAAAAATATATGATCGGCTATCAAAATAGTTTGGTCACATTCTGTAATATACTTGAGCGTCGTGAACAAAACCTGAAAAATATTTTCAAAAAATTAATATGTAGTGCTGCTGAATTTTCAGTTATTTCATAAGAATTTCAAAGGGACACAAATAGTGAAGACAATGATGAAACAACAGGATGAAATCAGAAATTAACAGTTAAATTAAGGTTAAGGGTATTACAAAAATTGAACGATTGCGATATATACAAAGTTAACATAATAGTACACGGAGTTGTTTCAGAAACAAATGGCCAATCGATTTTTTTTAAAATTCGTTATGTCAAAACTTTAGGTTTACAAGTTTTATTTGTAAAATATTAAAAAAAAAAATAAATCTTACGAAAAAGAGCCATGCAGGAAGTTTTCAACGTAAAATAATAATTTCTCATTTTAATAATATATGCATTACTTGGGTAAATGTTGGTTAATTTGCCCAAATTAATGATATCTAAAATCCTGACTTATTTATTAATGAAATTATAAGTTGGACATAAAATATTATTATTAGCATTGAAAAAATCAATTAAGATATATGCAATAGTCCCAAAATATTCTGATATTTAATTAAGGAGCATTACTGCAATATTTATTGTCCTCTTTAAAGTGAAAGAGAAAAATGATTCCTAGTTTTGATGATACAGTTTATACTTAAAAATCTTAAACATATTGTTGAACAAATATCACTTTAGTACATAGAAAAAAAAAATTAAATTATGCCTTAAAAATGAAAAAAATGCTGAAATGACATGTCTAAAAAATTCAAATTAAAATAAGTATAGAATTGTTAGGTTAAAATATTATGATAGTATAAAAACAATTTTTTTATCAAACCAATAATAAAAAAAAAAGTATCTTATTTTAAATAACTACCCTAGTCAATAGTTATACTACCAACTTTTTTTTTATTATTGTAAAATTATGGAAATAATTAAAAATTCAGTTTCAAGTAACTAAAGTATACATTGTGTGCCTCGAAAATGTGTAATAATTTGCTCATATATTTATATTGTTATTTAATTACCCTTGGTCCGCTAGAACTGTTAAAATTTCTGACAATATTGTTTTTTTCTTCTATGTTAACAATACGAGTAATTAATTCCATCTTTAGAGAACAATTCTTGGACAAGTAATTGTGTATGAGGTTTAACATGCTACACCATTGAGACACAATAATTAACTTCTCCGTTCCATGGTTTGCAAAAAGAGTGGTTTTAATCATATTACATATGGCTATAATCTATCAATAAAAAAAACTCATGTACATTTATTGTTATTTATAATATACAAATGTTTAAGAAAATTATCTAAAGTTGACAGTATATGTTTATGATTAAAAATGGTACACATATTTTACTTTAGAGCTAGGCCATGTATTTTCAAAAATAATTGGTTCCTTTGTTTCTTGTGCGTTTCTTCCAATATTAACTTTTCTAGGCAATTTCTGTAAAAAAACCCAAAACAACAATACGTTTTAAAACATTTTGCTTTATATATAATTATTCATAACATACTTCTACGATCAATGATGGGTGACAACAGGCTTGCCTTAAACGCAACTGTAGCACCAACATATGGCAAATCCGTAATTCTTTGTTTTTAAAGGAATGGAAAAATTGTTCAAGTTCTGGGAAAACGTTTTCTTTTTCAAGTTCCAATTCTAAAATTGAATCCAAAAAAAAATTTAGTAATTCACTTTACATTCGCAGAATGTCACTAACAAAATCATGGAATCATAAATAAACCAATAAGACAAATGACAAAATTAAAGAAACAATTCTATCTAAGCTAATCAAAAAAATAGAACTTTATTCACAAGAGAATCAATACTCAAAACCTAACCTAACCTTAAAGATTTTATAAGAATTATAACTAGATTTACACAGAGTGATTCAAAATGCATGTTTCAGCCATTTATTTACATATTTCAAAATATAACTATTAGAAATAAAAAATATATATACCTAATATACAAAAGTTTTTTTAATTTATAAATCTTTTTGAATTAGTGAATTTTTTTTTTGGAAAGAGGTCAATTTTTAAAATTCAAATTAAATCTATAATAAAAATTGCATAAATAGATGGTGTTAGTTTCATAGTTTTTAAATAAATTTCGCTGTAAACATTTTTGGTTTCCACCAACCCGTTAACCAGATATTCCACTTTTTAGTTTAGTAAAGGTAAGAGTAACAGAGAACCCCCTATATATGCATATGCTATACACAACATATATTTGCTATATACTATATATGCTTAAGTAACAGTATGACACACTTTAACTAACTAATAAGTAAAATATCTCGTAAACAGAAATCAAAAATGTCATCAATTTATGGAATTTTGAATATAGGTTCCCATTTTAACTTTAAAAATTTACCACCAAAAAACAGTAAAAAAAAGTGCACAAATTATTTTAGATATTAATAAATCGAAAAATTGTGTTTTACATTTTTCTCTTTTTTGAATATTAACATGATAAAATCTGTAAATTAAGGTTGGAACGTAAATGTTGAATCAACCTACATGTTCATAAAAAATTTACCTAGAAAATGTTGAACTTTCTTCGGTTTTTTTGATTTTTGCTTGGAGCTTTTTATTGCATCTAAATTGTACCTAGACATTTAATACAAAATATACATTTTTATTAAAGAAAACAATTTAAAAAAACCTCTTAGAATAAATTCAACTAACTTGGAGAACTGTAGTATTTGGTTATAGACATCTTTTTCCCTTACAGACATCCCTACTTCAATATTGAAAACCGTTTGAACAGGCAGTACAAATTGATCAAGTTCTCCTTTAGTATATCTTTGCATTAAAGATTGTATTAGATGTGTTAGTATAACTGGTGGAACTTCTGCATTAGAACTACTGTCAATGAATTGCTTCCAAAACTTTAAAAAAGAAATTTATTTTATTTTTAATATCATTGATTTTAATTAAAACTGAAAAAAAATAAATACAAATCCAAATACAATAATACTTACTGGCAAACTGTCAAAAGGTTTACACTGAATAAATTTTAAGAGGGAATAAAATTCTTCATTAGGTATTGGGGTTTCAGTTACTATAGCCCATCTATAAATACTAGAAAGTTTGCAAATTGAAATGCAGGCTTGTGTGTTATACTTTTGAATATTAATTGCTTCATCTAAAATGATGCGTTTCCACTTTATATTGAATAAAGGACTCTGAAATTATTCAAATTAACACTAGTGATAACAACTGTTCAATTCGACCAAATAAACCCTGTAGTTTTAGTTAAATATATTAAAATTAATATTAATTTGTACTAACTGTATTCGGGTTATTTTTATAATCCCATTTGACACATTTAAATGAAGTAATCACTATATCATATTTATTTAATTGGTTAGCAAGTACATTTTTTTCACCCTGATGATATTTACAAATTTTCACAGATGTACTATTCACATTAGTCAACACTTCTTTGTGCCATTGCTCCATCAAAAAAAATGGACATATAATCAACGTTCCACCATTATTAACTATAAAAATATAAAATATAATTTTATTAGAAACAAAAATTTTAAATTTAAGTATGTGCATTATCATCTTTTAAAAATAAAATTTGATTAAATTAGATTTCAATTGGTTTAGAATTAGATTTTGGGATTTGAATTTCAGCATATACCTACCTACTGATAATACAATAAGATCAAAATCACTGATATTCATCAGTATTAACCATACATATATATGTGTATATATTTATATTCATTAGTCACATTATATTAATAAAAAAAATATTCAGACAATACCATTTATTGCTATTATTGCAACAGTAATACTCTAGAGGGGGTATCTTACGTAGAAGATAAAATGTACCAAAATATTGATCATTTTTAATATACATATATAAATAAAAATATCAAATGTAAAGACTAATAAAATCATACCTATTAAATAAAATATAATGTTGACAAACAAATAATATTATTTAAACTGTTCAAAATATTATCTTTTGGGAATAGAATATCAAACAAGCTATAATATACTGTCATAAAAAATAAATGGCAAATTGACAATAATTGTGAAATAGGGGAGTTTACACACAATTTAATAAGTTTTATTTATTATCTAGTAGCGGGCACGGGTACAAGGGAGGCATGGCAGTGATGCCTCTCCCAAATTTTAGGGGAAAAAATTTAATTATATTAATATGTCAAAAGCAATGATAAAAATGATATTTTATTTTATTATATAGTTAAGATTGCTATTTTTAGTTTTTATGTATATATAATAATAATAATACATTGTTTTGCAGATAGTTCTATTTATAATTCAGTAATTTCTAATGGCAATGACTGATGGATACCGGGCATTGTCTCATATCAGAAGCACCGGCATTTATAGGCCTACTAGTATAAATATTTTCATTTGGTATCATTTTAATCGGTTCGGTTTTTAAGATAATATATTTATAATGATTCAATTAGAGAAATGTTGTTATGTTTTTGTCATGCTTTTGATGAAGCTTCGGCTTTATTCAAAAAAAACAAAAGAATAAATGGATGAGTGACAAGAGAAGATATGATAAGAGACAAGTACATAAGAGGTAACTTAGGTGTAGCTTTTGATAGTAGAAAATCAAGAGTAAATAAACAGATTATTATAATATAAGTTTGAGCATACCATAAAGAGAAAATGAAGTAGCAAGAATTTTAATTAAAATAAATATAGGAAAAAAGGGAAGAGAAGATCAAAAAAGAGATGGCTCAATGCGATTGAGTATAATAATATGAAGACAGTCATTAAATGCAAAGTGTGAAATTAGGTCAAGTTGAATCTTAAGATTAAAGTACCTTACTTCAAAAAGTGGAGATGAAGGCTAAGGAGAAGATTATTACTTAACTTATTTATATTAGCAATATATTTAAAAATGTTAATTTTATCAAAAATGCTACCTTTATCATCATCGCACATACTATCTTGTTGTTCCTCAAGAGATTTTAAAATAAATGATACCATGGTTAGTGTAATACCCAAACAAATGTCATCGACTAAAAATAAAATATTATGAGTAAAATAAACAATCAATAATATTGTACTAGGTAAATAGAATACTACTACTATTTACCTAAAATTCCACCACATGTTGGTTCGGTCTCTTTCTGCATAAGCCAGAGTATGGTACGTATTTGATGTGGCAATAAACCCACAAGTAATCCTTTGGGGGTAGCATTTGCATCACTATCATCTACTAAAACATTTAAATATTATTGATTAGGTAAATTAATATTGTAAGTCACTTTCTATTTACCCAAAATACATACCATTATATGGTTTTCGTTTCTCAACTAATTTGTTTGGGTCTTTTTTATTATTCAAAACTGGATTTTTTGGTACCTGTTTGAAAAAAAAAGGTTCTTCAAACAGCCAATATAATTTTATACATTTTAGTTAAATTTAGTGCTAATTTTGTCAGAGTAAATGTCTAACATTTAAATTATATATTTCAATTTAATTAACTATTAAATTTTACTTACTACTTCACTTGGAACAAATGGAACATTACTAAAAATATAAATAAATAATACATCATTAGAACATACTACATTAAAGGTAAGCAAGTATAAAAGTTACTTTTCGAAATTTGAATTGATAAATAAATTTTTTGATGCAGTTGTAGAATCTGGAGAATATTCAATAACTTTGTGGCCAAAACTTTCAGGTATATTTTTACTGCAACACCTAGAACTATAAAATTAATATTAAATTTTTTTTAACTCCCATATCTCAACAATTTAAAACCAAGTTTAAAGTACTCATTAATTTGACTAATTACTTTTAATTAAATTAAACCTAGCCAAACCTTTTAAATTTATTTTAATTTGTGAAAAAATGAATTAATGAAAATCTTGTACTATTAGGATTAAGTTAGTTGATGGTTACTATAAATGGTGTTGGTCCACGTAAATTGTGCTGAGAGTTGAACCAATGACCACAAGCATTGTACATTGAATATTTATAATTTTAAATCACTTACACGGCCATATGATTAACAAAATAAAATAGCAGCTTTTCAATAAGTTTAGCTATTAAAATATGTAATAATAATCCATTTGTAATTGTTCTCAGTATTAAAAAAAATCCTTTAAATATAATAATAAATTATTTGTAGGCTACAGTAAATTATGTGAAATCAGTTAAGTAGCTACGAGGTCAGACAATTAAAGTAATGAGACTAATTGCAAAAATCACACATATTTAAAAAAATAAGAAGGCACATCAATACAGTCCCCTTAAAGTATTCTCCTTGGAGCCCAGCACTTTTCCCAGTTTCGTAAGATTTCTGGAAGTCATTTACTGAAAACTCCTGGAGTGCCCTCGTCACGGGACATTTGGATGTAAAAGTTGCTCGAAATTATGTCATTTTATATTCGTGACATGTGCTTCATACACTGACGAAAGAACACTTACAGTGAACTAATGACTGCATGAGTATGTCAAATATACCTATTAATAGATTTAGATTAGGAAATTAAAGACACAAAGTTACAGGTTCACAGAGCTACCACATACACGACAAAAAATCAGTCTCATTACTTTCAAACCTCATATACTTATACTTTTAATAAATGAAACTTGATTTTGGGCTTTTAGTTTTAATAGTAGAGTATAACAGCTTATTAAAAAATTTCAAGATAAAAATATTACCTTTTTTTTCGATATTACATTACAAATTTAAAATTGTCGAAATATAATGACATTTAACCATAAAATACATTTATTTAATAATATATTGTTATCCTGTACTATTTAATAAACTAGTTTTATTAAAGCACTATTGAACGTATGATTATTATAAACATAGAAACAAGGTTATAAAAATATTTAGATCAAAAAAGCAAACTTAAATAAAACATGGATTTTAAAATAATTTAATTGTATTATAATTTTCCATAATTTAACTACAATCAACTATGGACCATACAATAAAAAAAAACCTAGATAGCCCCAAAAATAATTCCTGATCCTTGATAATAAAAGTACTCATAAATTCTGTAAAAACACAATAAAAAAATTTTTGTTTTAAAACTTTACAATATTACCTTTCGCATATATCATATTCACTATCGTTAAATTTGTCTTCTATTAAAACTTGTGAAAGCGCTGGTAGTGTTTTTGTCTTAGATGAACTAAAGAAATTGCAAAAAAAAAAAAAACAATTTGTTAAGGATTGTAAAAACGTTAAAAACAAAAATACTATTAATTATACCTTGTATATGATTTATCCTGAATAGGTAAAATGATTTTTTCAACATCAATGTTCCATAATTTGTTTTTTTCATCAAACTGTTTATTAGAATCTCTGGCAAATCTATTAGGAATATGTACATGTATACATATAAATTAAAATATCACTGTTAACTATAATACAACAAAATAGACTAACCTTTTTAATTGGTTTTCATTATTATTACATGAACTTTTATTGGGACTCAACAATGAATGTTTCCTCTTATTTTTGCATGTACTAGAATCATTTATAAAATGTGTAAAAAAAAAATATAACTTAATTTTAACAAAATTATTCATCTGGTACTTTTTGAAAGTCTCCTTTAAACTAAATTAATATAATAAAGGTACAAGTAGCTAATAATTTATGAGTAATATGAGTACCTTTTATCTATTTCCATTTTAATTGTGTTAAGTATTTTTACCGATTGATCACTTAAAACTTTAGGATCTTGAAAGCTATGCGCAGACTCTTCTAATTTGTCAGTTACACCATTACTAAAAATCATTTAAATTCACATATATTATTATCTTCAAACTATATATGTCTATAGTAGAGCAGCAAACATTAATTAGGTATTAAATAGATAGAATTAAATAGATAGTTCAACGTTAATTTTGTAATCCAAAGTAATAACCAGGTACTGGGTCCTTTTTCTATTAATGGTGTTAATCGCCAGTTATAAAAAGCGAGAAGACATGTGGACAAGTGTGTGTGTGTGTTCCTATAAAAGAGCAGAGCCTTGCAAACCGCGAAGTCAATATGAGGAATAAACAATAAAAATAGAACAATGACAAAGACTAAAACATTAACTTTGGGATTAATTGATTTAAGACCTTATCATTAATATAATATAAATAAGTAAAAATTTGTTAATGATCAAGATCTACTAAAGGACATGGTCTTACATTTATCAAAGTTTAGAGATAAGCAAACTATATAACACCACATGGTTAAAATTAGCTCTTTGTCCATAATTTGTTGTACAGTAGAAGTTATTATGACACTGCATTTGCATTTGAATCGTTCAAAAGTTACCCTTAAAATATTAAAATACATTGTTTTAATAGGGAAAGATTAGATCTATTCTCTAGGTAAGTAATTTCAACCTTTTACAAATTGTAACCCCTATTTTAAAAAGACGGCGAAAGAATAGGCAATCACACCATCATCTGACTGGGATAAAGAACAAGGCAGTCTGGCATAGACTTATAATATAATACAATTCTATGGTCCCTGGTTACAATAATAACTGATAATTGAAACCCATGAAAAAATGGAAAAATCGAAGAGTGGCGTTGAACTTATCACTTTTGTCACTATTTTATCCTTTTTATAGGCTTTTTCGAACTTTTATCTTTAACATTAACATTTATCAAAACATCATTAGTAAAATCGAAAATAAATATAACATTTTTAAAATGTTAATTTTTAGCTTCGGAAGAAAAAATGTCAAAATACAGTTAAAAATTAATTGATTGAATGAACTTAAGTCTACATAATTTAATCAACAAAAAATTTAAATAAAAATTCCAATAAAAACAAAATTGTTTTATTTAATCAATCATGGTATCGTACACAATGTTTAATTAAGAAGGTATGTTGGGTCAATGTTTTTCTTATTTTAAATGTTTTTTAAAAAACTAATATTTTTTAATTTAATTGTCTAAAAGAAATTTTTAGAACCTATTTGGAGTCCATATTTTACGGTTTATATTAAAATTTCATATTTTTTTAAAATAATGCCATAATTCTAACATTTGACTTTAATGAAAGTAGTATAGGAATGTTAATTCTATTAGGTCTTCAGCTTCACCATAATTGTATGAGACAATTTATTAGTCAGTAAGATTATGATTTCAGTTTAAATGAATTGTATTTTAGTTTTATTTGCTGATTTAAACAATTTGTACCCTTCAATGGTAATTAATCTGGATCCTCAGAAACTATATTTGGTATTTTAAGCTCCTCCAATAATAAATCTATAACCGAGTGGAAAATTCAGTGAACTTTTTATCATCTACTGTATATATATCGTAGTTGCCAATATTTATGTATACACTAGTTACAAAATATTCTCAAGAAAATTTTGTATTATTATCAATGAGCTCACTCAATAAAATGCAGTTCCTTGGATATTCTGTTAAGTATATTTGATATCCACACATTGTTATATTTATATTAACTATCAATGGGGATCAGTAACAAAAATTTCGTTATTTTTCTAAAAGCTCTTAACACATTTATAAAAAAACAATTTATAATTAAAAAATAATAACATGGGGCAGATACTTTTTGAAAATCTTCTCCTAACTAAATTAATATAAAGGTGCAAGTAATTAATAATTTATGAGTAATATGAATACCTTTCATCTATTTCCATTTTAATTTTGTGAATTTTTTGTATAGAGTGATCATTTAAAACATTTGGATCTTGGATGCTATTTGCTGGCTCCACCAATTCTTCAACAATTATGCCATTCCTAGAATTATTTAATTACACATATATTATTAAATTTGAACTGTATATTGTGTAGAACAAATTAATCATAAGATACCTACCTATATATTTTAAATAAATCAGTGCCTATAATTTTACTACAATATAAAATAAAATCGCACCCCCTTATTATCTGACTGTTATTATACATGATCTATTATTGAGGCTTTATGAATATTTTTTATTATTTTTTAAGAACTCCAACATTTACAAAATGTAAAAAAAATCATGAACTTTCATTTTAGAAATATTAAGTACTTTTTGAAAATTTTCTCTGAACTAAATTTACATGTAATGCAATTAGCTAATAATTTATGAGGAATATGAATACCTTTTATCTATTTCCATTTTAATTTTGTTGATGCTTAGTATTGATTGATCATTTAAAACGTTTGGATCTTGGAAGCTATTTTTTGCTGGCCCATCTCCAACAATTAAACCATTACTGAAATTGTTGAAGTTCATATATATTATTATATTTAAACTATGTATTATGAAAACAATTTATTAGGTATAAGATACTAACTATGCAATACATTGTAAATAAAATAGTACCTAAAATTGACTTAAACTATAAACAAAAAAAAATATTTTGTTATTTTTGCATGAGCTCCAAAAGTTTGAAAAAATGTAAAAAAAAAACATTACATTTTTTAAAAATATTACTATTAGATACTTTGTTAACTAATTTTATATAAGGCACAATAGCTAATATATAAGTAATACAGGTACCATTCATCTATTTCCCTATTTACTTGTGGTTCTTGAATATAGCATACTATCTAATATATACAATATTAATATCGAAATAATTTTTTGTTAATTATGAGGCTGAACTATAAAATATGTATATACATATAGGTGCAAGTAAGTAATATGCGAACCTTTCGTCTATTTCCAATTTAATATTGTTGATTTTTTGTATCGATTGATTGTCAAAAACATTTGGATATTGAAAGCTATTTGCTGACTCTGACCATTCTTCCACTATTAAACCATTACTGAAATTGGTTAAATTCACATATATTATTATATTTTAACTATATATTATGTAGACAACATTAATTAGGCGTTGACTACAAACTATATAATACACTAAAAATAAATTGGTTCCTCAAATTTAACTCAAGATAAAAAAACATTTTGTTATTTTTGTGTGAGCTCCAAACATTTTAGTAAAATGTATAAAAAGAAACACATTTATTTAAAAAATATGAATATTAGATACTTTAAAAACTAAATTTATATAAAAATGCAAGTAACTAATTAATATGAGTACCATTCATCTATTTCCATTTTAATTTTGTAGATTTTTTGTAGAGATTTATTATCTATAACATTTGGATATTGTAAACTATTCGCAGATTCTGACAGTTCTTCAACAATTACACCATACCTGGAACTATTTAAATTCACATATATTATATTTTAACTAAACATTGCACATACATTAAATACTATGCCTAATTTTAAATTAAAACTTAAAATTTAAATTTACCTATTAAGAAGAAAAAAAACAGCACTTAATAACTGATGTTTGTTGTTATTAAATAAAATATTATTGAGCCTCAATATTTTTGTATAGGCTTCAAATTTAAAAAAATTATAATTTAATTTCAAAAAACTATTAATACGAAAATTGTTTAGAAAGTACTTTTGCCCTCACTAACAAGGGTTATTTTTGTATTTTGTATTTAATGGTTGGGGCACAACTATGTGATCTAAGTTTAGTTCCAGTATTGCTTTAATTTTAGAAACTACAAACAAAATCATGGCTATCTTGTCAGTTTGCTTGACAGGACACAGGACAAAAATTTAAAAAAAGGCTATAAAATCAAACCAGACATCATATTTTGTACAATGGGTGGGCCACTTTTGTGTGTGACAAATTGGGGAGGTAAAGGGGAAATTCAATGTATGCAATGATTAATCATTGCTAACGAAAAACGATTCTGTGGTGAGTTTGGTTTTATGTGTTTTGAAAGGCTGTAATATTTACAAATTGAACTTTGGGAGGCAATGGGACTAATTAAATATTGAAGAAACTATTGAGACCGTAGTTTCACACAAGACAATGATGGACACAATAAAGAATTTTAAAGTAAATATAATTTCCAACTTTAAACAGAGATCATTGAGGGTTTTGAAACAGGAAAGATATAATGATATTCTAAACTTAATTTTGATAGGAAATAATACACCCCAGAGACCAATGAATTATCAGAAAAGAGGAATTATACCTTTTGAAAAAGAGTGAAGAATCAGCCGGAAACTTTTAAAAGGTTTAAAAAAATTATTTAAAGGTATAAAAAATTTGATGAGGCAGTGACTATGTTTAACATGAATTACACAGAAACCTAGAAATTATTTTTTCAATAGCTTTTTAAAAAAATTGGGAACTCAAACCTCTTACTTTCTGAAAAAAACTTATATAGTATTTATTTTTTTTAAATTTTTGTTTAGACAGAAGTTAATATAATAATGCAAATAGGTAATATGCAAGTAATAAGAGTACCATACCTTTCACCATTTTCTATTTTAATATTGTTGATTTTTTGTATTGATTGATCATCTACAACATTTTGATATTGAAAGCTATTAGCTGACTCTGAGCATTCTTTAACAATTAAACCATTACTGAAATTGATTAAGTTCACATTTATTATATGTTAACTGTATATTATACAGACAACATTATTGAAGCATTAGATACCAACTTTATAATACATTAAAAATAAATTGGTCCCCAAAATAGATAAAAAGATAAAAATAAATCTTTACTATTTCTGCGTGAGCTCCAAACATTTATAAAATGAAAAAAAAAATATTGACTTGTTATTTAAAAAAATATTAATATTGGATACTTTTTGAACTTTATGTATATAAAAGGTGGAAGTAGCACATTAATTTTTGAAAACTTTATCTATTTTCATTTCCTAAAAATGACTATAAGGTATAAAAAATTGAATGAGACACAGTGACTATGTTGAATAGGCGACATGAATTATACAGAAACCCGGATATTATTATTTAAATAAAACTTTTTATAAAAAATTGGAAACTCCTTACTCCTTACTTTCTGAAAAACCCTCATTAGGTATTCTATAAAAAGTTTGATTTTAACAAAATTAATATAATGGTACAAATAGGTAATATGCAATTAATATGAGTACCTTTTGCCATTTTCCATTTTAATATTGTTGATTTTTCGTATTGATTGATCACTCAAATATATTGGGTAGTGGAAGCTATTTGCTGACTTCGATATTTCTTCAACACCATCACTGTAATCATTTAAATTCACATATATTATTTTATTTCAAATATATATTTTACAAAAAACATCAATTTTAGATACCTACCTTACATTAAATTTATAAATAAATTTGGGCCTAAATTTGGGCCTAAATTTGAATTAAAATAATGTATACAAAATAACAACTTTACCCCCTTGTAACTGTTATTATAATTATATTAATTATATTATTGGGATAATTGGCTCAATGATGAATGGTTTAGTTAACTTCTAACATTTTCAAAACTTAAAAACGACTATTAAAAATATTAAGTAGGTACTCTTGTTATAAATTATTTTTAAATAAAATGTATGTTAATGGTGGAAGGAAGTCAGTTTTGCGATATCAACCAATCGTGCTACATTGTATATACACACCGCTCTTCACTTGATCTGTTTTATTAGAAGTTATACTATATAGTATTTTATCATTTAAAAACCAAAAAAGTTCTTATCAACAGCAAAACAACAAATAATATTACATCATAGTCCGAAAGACCTCTGAAATTCAAGAATTGATAACAACTCTATAATTAAATATACTTCTTAAATATAATTAAAAATGAAAATAATCCATTAACTTAAAAACTGGTTACCACCTAGACAATGTCAAACTTCTTGTAAATAATGGTAAAATAATATCAGTAGAAATTATCTCTTATCATTTAAAACCCATAAAAAAATTCTTAATTATGTAATCTACTAAGTTTTTCTTTTTAATATAGATTGTATGTATAAAAAATTTAAAAAAAAATCTACAAGTGAATTATAAATGAGTTATATGAGTACCTTTCGCCATTTTCTATTTTAATATTGTTGATTTTTTGTGCTAAATGATCACTAAAATATAATGGGTATTGGAAGCTTTCCGCTGACTCCAATAATTCTTCAACATTTACACAATCACTGAAATCATATAAATTCACATATATTATTTTATTTAAAAAATATATGTTGATCAGGAAACAACATCTTTTAAATATCTGACTTAAGATATATTTTAAATAAATTTGATTTATAATTTATATTAAATAATAACTTTAACCCCTTGTAATTATTTTATGAATTATTATTGGGGATCGATAATGAATTTCTGCCGAAGCTCTAACATTTGCAAAATTTAAACGATTATTATTAATATTAAGTAGGTAGGTGGTAGGTACCTTTCATCAATTTCCATTTTAATATTGTTGATTTTTGGATTTGATTCATCACTCAAATATAATGGACATTGAAAGTTATTCAATGACTCTAATGATTCTTCAAAAATTACACCATTACTGAAATATTATTAAAATTAAAATTTGTTATCAAATATTAAAACTATACATTCTGAAAAAACATTATTTAGATACAAGATATACAACCTATATATTTTAACCAAATTGTATCCTAAAATTGAATTATATTTTAAAAGAATATTACCCCTTGTAACTGTATGTTATTAAAAATAAAAATAGTATAACAAGTTATGAGTACCTTTCGCCATTTTCTATTTTAATATTGTTGATTTTTTGTATTGATTGATCAATAAAATGTATTGGGTATTGAAAGCTATTCATCGACTCTGATAATTCTTCGACAATTGCACAATCACTGGAATAAATTTAAATTCACACATATCAATTTATTTTAAATACACATTGCACAGAAAACATCCATTAGATATTATCTACCTCACAATGTATCTTAAAAAAATTTGGGCCTAGATTTGAGTTATAATTTATGGAAAATATTAAATAATAACTATAACCCCCTTGTAACTGTTGGTATAAGAAAAAGAAATATTATTAGGGCTTAATAAATAATGAATGTTTTTGCTTATTTTAGTCTAAGCTCTAAACATTTGCAAAATTTAAACAAATATTAATAATACCAACAAGTAGGTAGGGACTTTGTTTAATATTATTTTTAAATAAAATGTATGAGAATGTATAGATTATAAACAAGTTATATGAGTACCTTTTGTCATTTTCCATTTTAATATTGTTGATTTTTCGTATTGATTGATCACTAAAATATATATCTGACATTTAAAGCTATTCAGTGACTTAACGATTCCTCAACAATCACTGAAATTATTAAAATTCTAATTTGTTATTTAATTTTAACTATACAATCTGAAAAAAACATTATTTAGATATTAGGTGCCAATATCTTTTAAATAAATTTGGTTACATTATATTTAATTTAATTGTTATTAATTTGTAAAATTTTAAAATAATAACAATTGGTTCACTGTAACTGTAACCTCTGCTAACAGATTTTATTATTAATTTTAATATTTTAGCGCTTAACAAAATATATTATAATATGGTTATAAGTACTTCATTAGATAATAGCTGTCCTGTCTGTCCACTTTTTTGTCGGGTCAAATGTTTTAATTTAAAAATATACCTAGATGTATCTATATACTACCCCAGACTTTGCTTGTATACAGCTTACATGTCACTACACTTCAATTTAATGTGTGTGGAACCATTCATCAAAAAAACTTTTCAATTTACTCAAGAACATTAACATTTTTACCTTGCATGTTGTTGAGAAACAGGTCTCACGTGGCACAGTTTCTATGAGAGTCTCAGTTTTCGCTTATATTCCTATTAAAGTGACACATTTTTGCCCTTAATATAAAATTATAGTGAACAATAGAGTAAATAATAGTAATAAAAAGTAATACTAATAATTGTCTTGTTCGTAAAAACCAAATTATCATCTATGTCACCATGGTAACCTATAAATCAACAAATTAAATGAAATTTTTGTACCAAAAATTCGAAAAACCCTGTGAACTATCCTTTTAAGGAGAGATTAAGAAACAATCAATAAACTTCACAAATTTCTATTATTTTTTTTTAGACGTGTTTTTCAATGCTGATTTAGGAATTTTTGAATATTTTTGAAGAACCATTACTATTAAAGAATTTATTTATAAAAAAAAAACTTCAAATTTTAAAAAACGTGTTTTATTGTTTTATAATACATTTACCTATGTATTAATAAAATAAATACAAGCAATACATTAATAGATAATGTCAGTTTCATTATTTGAAGCCAATTTAAAAAAATATCAGCATTTTGATTTTTAATTTTTTTTAAAAACATGTTTTGCAAAATATCCCACAATAAAATCTTTCTTCCTGTAGTATTGGGAAAGTGAATATTTTGCAAGTCTCCAAAGGTCTTGTATGGTAATAGTATGTTGATGAATATCAATATCTTTAAAATTAACACTATGGTTAACTTTAAATTGAACAAATCCCTCCTCTTCATTTAAACAGTCTTAGGTATGTCAAAAATATTCAAAAATATTATTTTCCTATAAAATTCTTATTGTTTTAAATAATTACCTTCCAATGTCAGAAATTATTGTTTTCCCTGGTAAAATCCAATCCTTTATAAATTTAGAATAATTTAGAGTAGAGTAATTGTGTTTCTTTTACCCAAAGAGACAAGAAAACGTTTGTTCATTCAACGCTTAAACACCTCTAAATACCTGCTCTGTCCATCAATTGAGCGCAAACCCCCTTGATATTTCATCTTTCCGTATTTACTTTCGTCAATATCCACTACAACGACACCACACCAACCAGTGGTGTGATAACACCGATTTTGACTTGTCTACATCCGACTATTCCATCGATTACATGTCTTCTCGACAGACATTTACCCAATCAATATTTTGATTACTATTTTCTAACTCGCTCATAATTCATGACTGCCAGGTAGGTATGTCGGCGACGCAAATAGGAAAGAGCAACAATCCTAAGGAAGCAGGAATACGCATTGACGCGAGACATTGACCGCCTAATAGGAATATTGCGCATGCAGTTGGTGGTACATTTTTGTGGAATTAAAAATGGAATGGCTTGATCTAGTACTGCGCTGGGGAACCTTAAAAATGAAGCGAAGTGTCGAGGACGGACGAGTCCACTTTATTGTTCAAAAAAGACCTTCCGCGAGGTTTATACACGCTGAACTTATACGTCCGGCCAATGATGCTAAATTGCGGAAACGATACTCGATAGTTACACGGCGTTTTTTTGATTTCTAATCGAACATTTCACACGGCACAGGTAAAACAAAGTCAACGATAGGATTCCAGCGAAATTGGAGGGATAATAATAATAACCTAGTTAATTTTCCCGAGACTTCACAATTGGACATTTTTTTTTTGTTAAATTTTTGGAAGATTTAAACGAGACATTATTAAATTTAAACAAGAATTTTAAAATTATTTTGTACTACAGCTTTAGTTGCTCTGTCGGGCACACCAATGTAGAATAAATTAAATATTATTGTAAAATGTAATTAAATGTAATTAAATGTAATTTAATTTAATTTAATTTAATTTAGTTTAATCTAATCTAATCTAATCTAATCTAATCCAATCCAATCCAATCCAATCCAATCTAATCTAATATAATCTAATATAATCTAATCTAATCGTGTTAGAACAATTACTAATCAAAGCCCATATCATCTTCATATTAAGTATATTTATTCTAAGAACTATGCCGTAAAAACCCGTTGCCTTTTAATAATGCCAACGAAACATTTTAAACGAAAATAACTTTGGATTTGTTGGGCAAAACCACGTTAGGTAGATAACAGGGGGGAAAAACAAATTAAGAACTCAGAACTATAACGTGGGACTTGTAAAATCATAAAATCATAAAATCAACAAAATAAAATTTAGTTCCCTATAACTTCTAAAATATTTATAAATTAAAAAAAACCTTAATTGTGCCATAATCTTCGTGGTAGAAAAATACTATCTTTAAAAAAAATTGTTTTTAAAATCTAATTCTGCATTCTCAGTCAAGTTGATTGTGAGATTTCTGGTTTCCTAAAAAAAATTCTAACAGTTTCAAAATCAGTGTTGAAAAATGGATTTGTGAGGGGGCGAAGGGAAAAGAAAATTTTAATTTTTTTTGTTTTACCCATTTTCTAACGTTTTTTCTGGGCTAAAAAAATGTATTTTCCAAACATTTATCAAAAATATTAGGTATTCATACATCTGGTTAATGTTTGTTATTTGAACGATTTTTGTCGAAATTAGCTTAAACACACACACGCTTAAATATATATTATATAAAAAATTCGAAATTTTGTAGATATATTATTACAATTCTTTATACGAAACCTTTTTCAAATTAGGTATCTGAGTTTACCAATAGGTAGTGGCACTTTTTCTGGGGGGGAAGAGGTCTTTAATATAATTAATGTATTAATCACATAAAAAAAAATGTACCCAATACTTATTAATTTTAATCAACTTACATATTATTATTTTATTTTATTTTTTTTATTTTTCAATAATTAACCGCATGAATGGACCAATTTCAACAAAAAGTTAATTTAAATACTATAACTCAAAATCTCCTTTTTGGAGTCTGGAGGTGTACAGACCCCGGTGTACCCCCTCGTAAAACGGTCACTGGATATGGTACAGTAATGTTAAAACCTATGATAAACACCAAATATCATCGACAAAAATGTAATCGCTAAATTTGTCTATTTTTACGAATTGAAATGTAGTTTTGTACCTATAGATCTCGGTGTTTCTGTGCCTAAAAAGTGTGGCGTGAACATCGCGAGTTCACGGCGACAATAATAATGACAAAGGCCAGTATAAATATAATATAACAAGTGTACATATGAAAAAAGTATTACAATTCGTATTAATCTGCCAAGTTTTTATGTCTTAGTTCAGTCTGAACTCCCGAGTTCAGGGCGGTTCCTGACCCCCCGGACTCCTCCGCGTAAATTCGCCACTGCCAAGAGGCGATATTCAAAGTCAAAATATCGAACGAGTCATTTTGTTCACATAAATCCAAAAAACCGAAGAGAAAAACTCGAATAGTACATAAATACACAACACGCGTTTAATTAACAGATAACTTGTAATTTCGATAATTTGAACACGTCTATAGAATATACGCGAGTAGACACACCAAAACTAATACAACCAACGAGAGCACGCGCCCTACCCTCGCCCCTCGAAATCCGTCGTTTTATTATTCATCGTTCTAAAATATTGTGCGGGCAATACGGAAATTAATAGTAAAACCAATACACATGTCTCGCTATAAGATTATAGCATAAAATAACAATAAAAATATAATAATAAAAATATAATAATAATAAAAATACAATAATAATAAAAATATAATAATATTAATAGTAATAATAATAATAACAATGTTGTCCTTTACCTTTTGTACTCGAAACACGGTTCGCGAGGAATATTGTTGTTTGCGATATTGGAATGAACGGAAACGCAGGTGAGTGCTAGAAAAACCACGTGGCTACTATTGAAAGTTGTCCGAATTCACGACTCAAAACTACGAAATACGACGTGCAGTCACCGTGGCCAGAGACGATTTGACGGGACGCGTCAGCCGTGCAGTGATCGTGGTGCGAGTTGTCCGCTTCACAATCGCGAAAGTATCAAGCGATCGATCGGCGATCGCCGTTGTTAACGTTGTAAAATGGCCGCCGTTAGGCGGAGGGGGCTAAACCGCGGAGGGTGGAACCAATCGGAACGGATTTCCTATCGTGTCCCCGACCGTTTGTGAATTTCCAACGTCTGCCGTCGATAAATCGTGTGATATTCAAACTAATCGCGTTCGGTCACGTACGGACGATAGTAATTTCGTAATGTAGGCATTTCGATGCGAGACGTAATTCGTCCGCGTTGAAAAGCCACGCGTTTGCGCACGACATTTGAATACATCGGCTGTATCGAATGTATCGCAACCGTTTAAGTAGCTATAATTATTATTATAACAAAATAAGTATGGCAATATCAACGAACCGGGTAAATAACCGTTACGTTACGCTATTCACTCTCGGCACGCCGCCTACAGGGACAATATCAAATTCTATTGTCGCGTTATAACCAATATGTTGACCGGTTTTAAAACGCTATGTGCAAATTCGCATTGGTACGAACCATCGGAAACCCTTTACCATTTAATTACTATTGGTCCAGTTGACGGGAGTAATAATGACACGAGTATAAATCCCGACGGTCTCGCGTCATTTGCGGTGGGGCGGAAGAGACGTTTATCCCACCTCGTCGTCGGCGAGCCGCTATAACGGGCCGGATATGGGTCGGTGTCGGGCTGGTTTTGGGCCGCGAGCCTGTGCAGACGTGATTCGCGTCATTGTGTTTTTTTTTTTTATGATTTATGTGTTGCGTACGGCCACTCTGAGCTACAGTTGTTCGACATTCGTTTGTGATAATATTGTGTACAATATTTTTGTTTCAAGCGTTTACTACTTCTTAACATTGATTGCACTTTGCACTTTGGTTTCGGAAATTTCACCAGTTCTGTTTAAGGGGCCAGATGCGGAGCGCCAGAGGCTGTCGGCGCCCCGATGACAACATGGCGGAACGCACGCTCTCTGAGCCATTGATTTTAAAGTCCGAAATATTTCACATAAAACGTGAAATATTGAATCTCATTTTTATTACCTTATATGGACTTGTTTTCGACTATTTTATATTTACCTATGCTATTTATATCTAGAAACGTAGTTTTTCCCCGGAAACGGCTTATCGTTATTTTATGATCGTCGACGACGGTGCCGTGATGATTGATAATACTATTATTATTTTTAAATTATAACCTATAACTATAAGGTTTTAGTAAGTTTTTAGTATTGGTGACTGTAAATTCAATAGGTACCCTAGGTATTTGTTCGGCTCTTTATCATTATGATAAACGGCGTAGTGTATACCCATACCCATACCCATATTAAACAATCAGCAATGACAAGTGTAGGACGGTGAAAAAAAATCATATTTTATTGAAATATTGAGACGTTTCAAAAGTGTATATTCCATGAAATTTTTAAACACTGTGAAACTGTGAATAATATTGTCCGAATGAATATATGCACAAATACATGCACACAATTGTGAAAACTGAAATTCGCTGAAAATCGTTTTTGTGAATACATGGTACGTCGATAGTATAGTAGGTATTTACAATTATTTACCTACCCACGTCGTCGCTGCGAAATCCTTTGTTATTTTGAGAAATATTGTCGACCGATAACGCCGACTTCCGACCCGACAACCTGCTGATTTTCATCTATGAAATATGGCTTATGAGGCCCTTTAAAACAGACGCTCCAGAGGCTTTTGGCACGTCAAGCCTGGTAGTACCTGCCTACCAACCGGACCTACCTAGTAATATTCTATTTTGTAATATTTTGAAAAAGTTTTGAAAAATAAACTGCACCCTCCCTGAAATATTACCCTACGCATTTGCCTGCTCAGTGAAGATAAAATTTCATTACGTATAATAAAATTGGTAGGTATTAAAGAATTTATTTTTAAAAAGACCAATTCAAGTTTTTACAATGTCGTTGAAAATGTCTCGGTGACAAAAATTGAAACGTCCCGCCGGACTTTGACGACTTCAACTAAAGGGGGAATTAATAATTTTACACTAAACAAGAAAAACATTTTGGAAGTTTTATCTCGGCGATGAGTTTCCGGTAATTCGGCTAGATTCAGTTAATTAACGCCTTATCGGGAACGTTCTCAATTTATTGTCGGCAAATATAGTCCCATTTCCAAGTTTTTCCCACAATCACCAATACCAATAATATGATATCATTTCCCCGGAGTAGACAAGACGGAAATTTTTTCCAAGAATAACTGGTATCATATATCAAATCAAACTCTATTTCGTTGTACTACGCCGAGCATGCCAAAATGGCACGAACATTTGAAGAAAAATAAAATATATGAAAACTGATCGACTCAACGTGTGCATTTTATGACTGCGTTGACATTTAAATTGCATTTTTATTTTGTTTTCTTATCTTGTACATAATTGTATTTTTTTACGTTAGTCTAACAAACTTTTAAAGCACAAAAATATAACACTGTTTTTTTTTTTTTTTTTGGTGTCTAATTAATATGGCATACAATACATAAATAATACAATTGTGTAATCGTGAAATATTCTAATCAAAAATATATACGCGGACTACAATCCAAAATAAATCATAAATATATGCAAATGTTCGCTTTACATTATGCAAGGTGGATTATACGAATTTGATATTACAATTTATGATATCGAGGAAAACATTATACGGTTGAACTTTTTGGCTTTTAGGTACCTAACGAGAACAAATTTATTTTACGCAAAAAATTCAAAACTGCCGTTTTTTGTTCATTATAATGTTATAACTTAGGTATAACGTACTATAAAACCCAATGTAGAATATAAGATTGCAGATTTGACATTTATTTATCAATTTGTATCAGTATAGTGAGAAACGATCATCTCAAAAAGCTCGCGCGCCAGTTCCGCACCGGTGTTGAGCACTCGTGCAGTTTTTCAAGACGGAACACATTAAATCGGGGTAATGAAAACACGTCATACTGATGGAAACACGCCAACAGTGTACCCTCGGTGTAACAGTGCAACTAACTGGAAAACGCTATTGATGATAGGTAGATATGATTTTAACAAATTTTCGAAAATAAAAAAAAAAGAATGTAAATTTCAACAGAGCTAATAGTATAACCTAATTTTGAAGATATAAAACATAAGACAAGATTCCGATAATTCTGGCGTAAGAAATGTTTAGTTTTAAAAATGGTTAAAATGGTTTTTAGATAAAAAATCGCCGATTCGAGAAGAAAAGTCTTTCAAAAAAAATCAACATCTCGAATTTATTTTTCTCAAGTATTAATAATATTAAAATGCCCAAATACGCATAAACATCATTAGTAATTTGTAGTAATTTGAGTTCACCACCAAAATGGCGAAAATAAAAAAATCAAATACAAAATATTGAATACAAAAAAGCGAGAGTCATTGAATTGAAAAAAATAACAGGAAATAAAAATGTATAAAAATTAAAATTGAAATATACGAAAAAATTATTATTTTTGTCGTACAAATTTACTAATTTTTAAATCCGTACTTTTTTTCCCCTCATATTATTCATTCCAGATTGACAATACTCATATTTAATTTCCTCCAGATTCTACTGTCTTTGAAGGTATTCAATCAATTTCCGTTATAATATGTATTATACAGCCCGCAATCACGTTCGTAAATCTCGAATTGGATCCTAAAATATTTCACAAAAAAAAATTGTTAAAATGTTTCTCATACAGCACCTACATTATACCTTCGGCTCATGTAAAACATTCAGTAAACCAAAATTAAGAAAAAAAAAAGACGTCCTAAAATAAAGGGGCCAGGTGCAGCCGCTGTTAATAGGTAATTTAATGAATGCATGTAAGCAACGATAAACCATTGCCTACAAAAAACCGATTCTGAATGGAGTTCAGTTAATAATGATGCTTTTTCAACAATATATATACATGTCATATTATATGTAGTAAAATAATTAAGCAGGCTCTATATATTTATTCTTCAATAATATTTGTTTAATGTTGTACCGATTTCCCTGGTTTCTTACGTTTTTCCCGGTTTTCCTATGTTTTCTCCAGTTTTTCTCATTTGTTGATAAAACTACGGGGAAAATTTGAAAAACTATTTCTTTAAAGTACTTCTCCCGTGAAATTTCCTTTCAGAAACATTGCTATTATTATACGTTGGAGCTAAATTTCAGGTATAAAAGTTGTCCGCTGAAAGAAAAAATCGTAATATTATCCAATTATTTTTCGTACATTTCCCCTTTTTTTTCGGTGTTTTGAATTTAATGAGAAAACTCTTGAGAAAATCGAAAAACTCCTTCTTTAGGGTACCTCCCCGAAACGGTTTCGTTTCAGAAAAATTGCTACACGTAAAAATCGGAGCAAGTCCTCTGGTAGAAAAGTCGTCCACAGAAAAAAAAAATAAACATCTTTGTAAAACCATAAGCTTTTTCGCTCCATTCAGAATCTAAAATCATGAAATGTTTGTACGAAGCTTAAAACGATGGATTTTTCGCACCATAATATTTTTTCGTTCATATTCGTATTCGTTAATTTTGTTTTCGCTCTATTGTCGGGATACCAGTAATTTGTATATACCGATGGGTATAAAATAGATAATGAATAGGTACGTAATGGAAAAATTGTACAATATTATAAATTGATATCAGTCGCGCGAGTCCAACTGAGGATCGTACATACAGGTTCATTAAAGTCGAATTCGCGATCGATAGGAATTTTAGATTTGGATGAAGACGCGGATGGTTGTAGCTGACCACCGTAGCAAAACGTATGAAATACAACCGACTCCGACATAAACACAAAAAACAAAAGACGACAGTCCGATGTGGGCAACGTGGCAGTGTCCAAGGTACAGGAGTAAGTATATTGCACGCAGCATCGAGGAAATGCCATTAAATCGCAGTGGATGGGAAAATATTAGGGGAATATTTATCCACACCTTGTAATTTAATATTGTTGTGTACAAATTGCCAATGGTATCTTTTTCGAGTACCGTAAAACCGCAACGTGGCACGGGTGTTGTTAACCGTACGGCTGTAGCCACACCCGAGACTTTTTGTTCTTTAGGCGGGTACTACAGGTACTCATTTCGATGAAAAAAGCCGATAGGTGATTTTTGTTGGAAAATCGAACATTTCAGAATATTTGGGAATTATTAAAAGTCGTCGGAATCTTGTCGAATTATCTTTTAATATCCATATAGGAATCGAGGACGTCAAAACAATATTTCGTTACCAAGACTGTTTCACACCCGCCCCACGACCGTCCCGGGAAATTGTCGACGTATTATTCGATTTGGTCTCCAGCCCGAGTCCCGACGTGGACAGAAACAAAAATATAATTTTTTTTTTCTATATTAATCGTAAACATAGTAAGTTATACGATTATTATTGTATTTTTACGGAACAAAAATGAAATGAATTAATTAAACTTATTATTTATGAATAAGTGACTCGTTTTTATAATAGACATTATTTTTTTGTTCTATTTGATAATTGCCTATAAAGAAAATTATATGCTATATAGTATAATTTTCGTTGGAACACGTTTCCATCAATCCAATCAAGTCCAATAACCGGCGACGACGTTCGAGGAGTTTTACCCGACCGTGCGCCGCGTACACGATTGATTCCCGTTATTTATTCGTTTACCTTCTGAAAACGGGACATTTTCGCGTCCGGAAGATTCCCCGGGGAGGGGACAACGGGACAGCGGTACGAAAAATGGGACCGTCCCGTTTTGAACGGGACGGCGGGCATGGTCGTCACCGTAGGTATTCTGCAATATTAAATAGCGTCCGGATTTAATTCGTACGTTCACCGCGGTCGGCATCGTGACCACATTATAGCAGGCGGTCGGCACCAGGCCGACGATAACGATCGCGATTATTTGACAAGTCCATCACTGCCGTCGTCCTTATCAGCGCGATAAGGACGTCGTCTTTGTTTCCCAATCGAGCGCCGGTTTTCTCGGTCTATTTTCAATTCGTATCGTCCGAACGCGATAACTATTGCGGGGAAACCGGCCGGGTATCCATTCGGTGTATTATGTCTATTATAAGCGCCCGGAGGAATAATGCGTACACCGTGTGTTGCATACAGAACGATTGGTAAACATAATAAAAACGTCGACCGGGCATAATTTCGATTAATTATTAATTATTCTGGGCCGATACCGAGTTGCGGCCGGGAACAAAACGGGCGAAAAAAATAAAATAATTCCAAATAGCGGTCGGTAACAAAACGGGTGGCAAAAAAAACCCGAGTTGCTTTCAAACCATTGTATACAAAAATTTGTGAAAATTCACATCTAAAATGCAATTATTATGACGGTTACACATTATAATACAGTCAAAATAAATACTAATACAAGAATAATAAAAAGAACATTTACAATATTATACTCTTGATTAAACCGAGTCACATAAACTGGTCATACACATTTCACAAATGTCAGCGAATCAATTTTTTTTCGAAATGTAGTTTGATTTCATTTTTAATAAATTCCTGACTCTCGGACTTTTTGTTAGTTTCCAAATCTACCGAATTGGTTTCAGCGTAATAGATATCGAACCGAATGTTTTTTGACACACTTGAAAAATTCAAATATATTGGGCTGAGATGTGAACGAGTTAATAATAATTTCATTTTAAAATATGTAAATTATACAAATTGTTGTATACTATGATTCAAAAACATATTTATTAAGATAATCCGACCGCAACTCGGATTTTTTTTTTAGATTCTGAACGGAGCGAAGAAGCTTATAGTTTTACAAAGATTTTTATTTTTATTTTTTTTTTTTCTGGACAACTTTTCTACCGGAAATCTTGCTCCAATTTTTAAGCGTAGCATTTTTTCTGAAAGGAAATCGGACTGGATAGGTACTTTACAGAGGTCATTTTTTTGATTTTCTCAGTTGTTTTTTCAACAAATGTGAAAAATCGGAAAAAAATGGGAAAATGTACGAAATGTTGGTATTAGTTGAAAAAAATATTACAGCCTTTTTTTTTCTTGTAAACAACTTTTTTACCAGCAATTTGGCTCCGATTTACAATGATAAAACAATAAATAAACATCATTTTGAAACCAATATACATTCCTCGCTACACTCTGAATCTAAAATGTAAAAATGTCTGTGTAGGAGATTACACCACCTATTTTTGGCAGTTAAAAAGGGACTATGCAGGAGTTTAAACTATGTTTTAAATACAGGTGAAAAGGCCATTTTTTTAAGAGTTTACATGTAGCCAATTTTAGTACAACAATTAAGGGAGAGAGAAATCACATAGAAGAAATTTCGCTCCGAATCGTTTTTATTTTTTACGCGGCGGCCTACGTGAGCGAACTCGATGGTTTATCGTTACGTACTGATATGAATAGAATACCCCTCTACTACCTACCCAACTATTTACCTACAACTGTAGCCCACCCATCATATGTCCGTCTTTTTTTGTATATTGCCATCAGTGTTGAATCCAGGTATGTCAGGGGGGCGACAGCTCCCTCTGGAATTTTGTTTGCCCTCCCTGTTAAATATAGGTGTATTAATAATTAGTAATTGAACAAATTTGACTGGTCTTAGTAAGAGGGTAGATTAGCAAAAAAAAAAGTTCATTCATAATTATTATTTTAGTAATGCCCCTTCAGTGGCAGCACTAGGGATGGGCCAGAGTGGGCCTCGGCCCACACTAAAATCTTCCCGAACCCCTGCTGGCCCATCTGTATGATGTACAAAGTAATTCTGTTTTACATTACATATCATATTCTTTTTAAATATAAAGAAATACGAAGACATTTAGAGATCATAGTTATATTTTAGATTCTAAGTGTAGCCAAGAATGTATTGGTTTTACAAAGATGTTAATTTTTTTTTTTATATGTGAACACTTTTTCTACAAGAAAGCTTACTCCGATGTTCACGATGTAGACCCCCTGAAAGTAAACCTTACTGGAAAGTTAATTTAAGGGAGTCATTTTTCGATTTTCTCGGGGGTTTTCACAATAAGTTGGAAAGAAACCGGGAATAAACGGGAAAATGTACGAAATGTAAGTATTAGTCGAAAAAAAATATTACAGCCTTTTTTCCCTTGTAAACAATTTTTCTATCAGGAATTTTGCTCTGACAATGTTTTTCAGGATTTTTCCAGCAAATGTGAAAAACCGAGAAAAACGTGAAAATGGAAAAATCGGTGCAATATTAAACAATTATTATTAAAGAAAATGTATAAGGCTTATTTAATTGGTTTACTATAATAATTTCAGTGGATTGGTACATAGATATCAAGTAAAATGTTGGCCCTCTCTAAATAATTACTGGCCTCGGCTTGGCCCATCTGATGTAAAAGTTCTGGTGCCGCCACTGTGCCTCTCCTAGACAATTTGTCTAGATTCAACACTGATTGAAATATCATATTATAATGTATAACATAAAAAAATAAAAATTAATAAACAAGAAATATTGAAACGATAAATTCGATTGCGCTGACGGAACTCTGTGATGTTACTCATTTAGTTAAATTTAATAATATTTTCGATTAAAAAAATTAGCAAAATTTTTTTTGGTGGGGACGTTCAGGTCGTTTAAGTTCGGTCAGTTGATACGCAGTACCACCCGGTAAACAACATTGACCAAGTGTTGTACACAACGGTGATTACTGAGAACTGTGCAGAGGTCGGACGCCTGTGTTTATTATATGACCGACGGTACACAGATCTGATGTTATGAATTTTTCGACCCTGAAAAAGGCTGGGTGATCCGCGTGCCATGACGGGGGGTGTCGCATCCCACGAGTCACAACGACGAGCGGTGTAAGCCATACGGCTATATGTACGTCAACTGACCAACGCGTCCCCAAAAACAACCGTCGTTCGCGCTGTATATATACCTGCCATCAGTCGAACAGTGAACACACTCGAGAACATTGTCCCAAAACCGGTCGACAGGCCGTCCTGACCGTTCAAACATCGTGAACTGGACGCGTCCCGAAGGATGTTCGGCTGGCAAACACGTTGGACGCGTCAAACTTAGCCGCTAATCAACGTACGGTCGACTTGTACGGTTTTTGTTGCGAGTCCCAAAATTGGGCGCTCGCAAGCGCCATCGTAAACGCCTAGCGACCTTTTACGAAGGGTATAAAGTAAAATGTCCGGTAGAGGGCGCCACGCAATACGATAAAACGTTAAAATAACGTTCAAGGCCAGTATCATACTTGCGGATTATCCGCAACGACGTTCCGCGGTAGAATTTCCGCACTACCAGAATTCATGTATCTAAATACTACTGGACACATCACAGCGGAATTTCCGCACGGAAAATAAAAACCGCTGCGCGTCGCGATTATTCCGCTGGATTTTATTTCCCCGGCGGTACCGAAATAAATCCAAACATGTTATTTTGTGTTACCCGTATCATATTCATAGTGGAATATCGTAGCGTAAATTTAATATTTTATTCATCATTTGATTATCGATACTTCAATATCATAATCATTACCATGTTTGATATTGACGTTGAATTATTAATTTCTGAAGTGGGGTTATATCCATGTTTATGGGATTTGAGCAACAAAAAATACAGTATAATCGGAAAGTGAATAAAAAAACACGGAACCAAATAGCACAAAATATATTTTCCGATTGGGAAACAATACCAATCTGTGAACAAAAAGGAAAAACGTAAGTAAATCATTTAAGTTTTCAATATAATATGGAACACACAATTGATGAACACAGTAGATATAAGTACGTAATTCATCGGTCAAATTTTCAACACCATCATTGTGATACATAGTGTATCTATTCTAAATAATAATTGTAAGTATTAAATTATTTGTATTGACTTGTAATTAATATATTGAGAGAGATGATGCTTCTTGGATCTCCATATCTATTTAGTAAATGTGGGTATTTATTATAAAATTATTTGTTACACATCCAGCTACATATTTAGCAGCTTCGAATTCAAGTTGATTGTATGCATGTTTCGGATTAACCTGTGGTACGCAATTCAAAATGATGAAACTATTATAGTATGATAATAAAAAATCTTAAGTTACGGATTTTTTTTTATTAAGATTTAACTTTTGATTCTTGTACTAACAGACATTTCAAATTGTTTTAATAGATCAAAACTTACTAGTTGAACTAATGTTCTTTCTTTTACTAATTCCAACATGACATTATCTAATCTTGAAATAATTTCAGAGTAATGAATAATTTCACTTGTTAAACATTCATCTTCACTTAAAAGATTTTGTTCATTTCCATACTCGGAGTTAGTATTATTAGTGAAAATACAATTTGAATGTTTTCCAAGAATGTACCAGCGAAGACTAAAATGCAGGTAAATTAGTATAATAGGTATTGTTAAAAATCAATTACGTTGTAAAAACTTATATTTTCAACATTTAATTACAAAATATGCTTATATAAATCATTCTAAAATGAATAATTTATCATGATAAATAACTTTAAATATATCTACTATACCTGTATTTAATAAAATCAAACACAGTTATATTATTACTAACACTACCACACATTTCTTTCAAATAGCTAAATGTATTTTCCACTAAATCTTGATTAAGTTTTCTCATGGTGACATAACTTATTTATTACTTCTTTATAATTTTTCAAATCATCCCACAATTTCAATAATGATTTATTTGGTATTATAATTCTTAAAAACAAAATATTAAAAACATTTAATTAAGTACCTATATTATTATATCTAAACTCATCAACCTTTTTGAAATGGAAGTAATGTTCCCTTATTTTTTCCACATACAATAATAATTTTAGAAATTAACTCATTCATTTTTAAAAGAAGATTTTTTTGTTTTGTTATATCTAGTCCAAAAATTGGTCTTCCATTGTTGTATTTATGAGATGAATTGTGTAAATCGAACCAATCATTAAAAAATTGAATCATTTTAGATGCCTAAAAAAATAGTTAGTTTATTTTTATTATATTGTACACGTTTTTTAATTGTTTAATTTACTTCTTTTCAATTATAGATAATAATATGTCCATTTTCTCCAGCATATGATATGGCTTTAGCAACTGAATTAGAAAAAATTTGACCCGTTAGTTTTACATTCATTCTGGAAGTTCTACCAAGTTCCTTCTACCAATAGATGTTGTTCAATAAGTTTAACAATTTTAAAATCATTTCCATTATTTATATTTACTAATTATGGTAAAATATATCCACTAAAAAATATTAAAATAAGTTATCATTATGTAATTATAATTTTTTATTTTAATTAAATAATTTCTTATTGGTCAATAAAATGATTTCTAGCCAACTTTTATAAGTGAGGAACATCTGCAAACACACAGATATTTTTTGTTGTTACAGGATGAGGAAAAAACACATTATTATTGGTGATGTTCTAGAAATTTTATTATTATTGTAACTATGAGTTGAAAAAAATTTTGATGTGCGGGAGAAATGACTCGTTCATGGGAGGATACTGAACAATTGGATATGTTTTCTTCAAGTGAACCCATAATTATAATACAATTTCACTTGACAATGATGTAAAAATTATTTAAATCCTTCAACGCGTTGACACGCCGCTGTATCGAGTGTACGCAATGACTAGCGACACAAACTATTGTACGCATCATCGTTCCGGCCGTTTACGATTTGGTCAGGACACCGGTTACCTTTCTCGTGGCACGGCGTACGTATAGCGTACCAAATGCGAATGCCTCCGTAAGCTATGGCGTCGCGATTTCGGATCGCAATTTGGATTTAAATACCCGAACGTTTTTGTAGCCAATCCGCGGTTTGGTTTGCGTCGCGAGAGCGACAGATCGAAACTCGGTATATTCTCGCGCGTGCCCGCTACAAAACCTGATCAACCGACTCCCACTGTTGGTACACATCGACGCCGTCGGGGCGCTTCGGTTGTCGTTGGCGGGTGTATACCATAGCCGCGCGAATAAGTTAACACGTCTGCGGTGTACTTATTTCAAATGAAAAAAAAAAAAAACGGTTTCCATTTCACGAACCGCATAACTATTCGTGAAATGGACAATTTCATCAAGTGGATGCGACGTATGCACAGTGAATGCAGTCGATTTTTTTTGTTTCTTCACTACATCGATTCGGTTACCGATTCTCTTTTGGGAACAACAACTATAACGTATTTTGTTTCGCATTTTTCCTGTAGACGCATAATTTTAGTTTGAACTGTTTTCATTGTTTTGGCTATTTTATATTTTTAAACTAATAAAACATGATGAATTGAGACAATAGCGAAGATAAAAGCAGCAAAATTTCACAAAATCAAAATAAACTCTCGCGAAAAAGTATCTAAGAATTTTTTAACTATAATGTATTTACTTTAAAAATCCCATAGCTCAGTTGTATTATTTATAATCGTATTCATCTCCAGAATATAATAATTATAATAAATATCTTGACTGAGTTATTTGAATTTTTTTTTATTGAAATAGTTACTTTTTATTTTTTTTCAAAATGCTTTTTTTAAATTCATTAAATTATTATTGTTTTTTAGTTTGTTGGTGATCGGCAGAAATGAATGACTGTGAATTTATATAAGGTTAAAATGGCTCTGCAAACTAATGGAAATAGTCCAAAATTAAAAGCTAATGAGATGATAAAACAAACATCGAAGGAGAGTGGTATACCGAACAAAAGACAGTGGTATACCGGGCAGTGAGCGTTACTTTAACAGAATATAGAAATAAAGGTACCATGTCTTCGTCCAACAAACAAAAATTAGGTAATCCGACAAAAATCTCCGGAAAAAAAATGCCAAGAAATAGTTCCCCGAAACAACTATACTGTCAATAATAATATTTAAAAAGACGTACTAGGGATAATGGGGACGGGTGCAGCTACTATTATAGGTAATTTAATGTATACGATTTTGCGCGGAGTTCAGTTAATTGTGATGCTTTGTCAACAATATATATATATATATATATATCATGTTATAGTAAAATAATTTAATATTCTCTTTTAGTAATATTTGTTTAATGTTGTACCGATTTTCCAGGTTTTTCTACGTATTCCTATGTTTTTCCCGGTCTTTCACAGATGCTGGGAAAACTCTTGAAGAAAATCGAAAAAATGATCTCTCTAAACTACCCCTCCCCCCCAGTCAGATTTACTTTTAGAAAAAGTGTTATCATTGTAAATCGGAGAAAAATTGCTGGTAGAAAAGTTTTTCACAGGAAAAAAGGAGGCCTTAATAAATTATAACTAATACCTACATTATTTATATTTTCCCGGTTTTCCTCTGGTTTTTTTTTTCGGTTTTTCAAATTTGATGTGAAAACTTCTGCGAAGAAGAACATACGCCCTTTCTACTGTGTATAGCAGTCGTCTACTGCCACTACAGTACGGCAGCCGGACGGCGCGATAAACATAATGGTGTACATGACTGACTAAATACATTATGCGGTTTCCGATTTTTACCGTTTGATTTTTTGGTGTATGGTCAAACCGTATTATGAGAAGAGCCCATAGGTATTACAAAATATTTTTATCGAAAAATAATATTTTTAAAAATAAAGAACAATTTTAAATTTAAAATCGGTTTTATGATGATTTAGGGCTGGTTATAGAGTCATGATTGGGCTCAGGCCCACCGGGAAACTTCTCGGTCTCTCGGTGACACAATCCGCTACTGATTTATTGCACATTATAAAACATTATCGTTACACACACCTTTAGGAAATACTTAGGTTTTTCACTTACCGGCGCGTTTCGATTTCGAGTATCCGAGTTACGACCGAGCACCAGTAAACAATTTTTTTTAAAAAATGGATAACACGTTATAGGTTTAAAGAATTCACTACTATATTCTTAGAAATATACCGTCAGTTTCCCTGTCTTTGGAAAATATATTTGTGTTTTTGTAATAATAAAATATCGCTGAATTTGTCCCGATTTGATTCCCAGGTTTTAACTCACTTTAAGTATTTTTTTTTATGATTTTAAACATGATGTACCGATAGACGCAATGACATTTTTGTTTTATTTGAATATATTATTATATTAAATAATTGAATATATAATATATAATCTAAATATTTGTACAAAAGGTAAAAAGTTTCATCAAACTTCAAAGTAGGTACTAACGAACTTCACAACGGTGCATTTCGACTTCGATCACTACTACAAAAAACATGTGGATTTTAATTGAACTCGATTTAAAACTGGGTGAAATACACACACGTCAGGCGCGTGAAAACGCGGAGTTTTAACCTAACCTAACCTTTACACGGATGCACTTGGTATGTAGCAGCGTGTATTGATACACCTTGTTATACAGGTAAAACAATTAACAGGAAAGGCAAAGCACGCACGATTGGCGTGTATTGCAATTTTCAACACAGTTTTGGCGCGCCATACGCCATGAACGCGATTAAGGCCATCATCATCATGCAGTTGGTTTACTAGTTTACTGCATTATTCAGTAGATGACACTGCACTAACTGTAGTGGCGCGAGATTTTGTATCAGTAGGTAGATAGGTACTCAAGTCAAATGTTTACCATTATATGTACTGGTTAAGAAAATAATTATCAAATAAAAATAATAGTAGAAGACCAAAAAATATTGTTATTACTGTTATTATTTGCAAATTAAACTAACATTATTTGAAAAAATGAATTTTCTAACTCAACACAAATCGCAAGTTGCAGCTAATATTCTGTAATACGATGATACAAAAACTACACGAATGTCATAAACTTATTCATTATTTATTGAAACTGAACAGTTGAGCTAAATTTCACTAATAGTATTTACTAATTAATGATCTAACATACTTCAAATATTAATATATTTTTTTTTAAGTTTAAATAACTGATAAGTAACATTATGTTATTGGGATAACAAGAAACGAGTAATCGCTTATCATTATGTTCACAATATGAGTTATAGTGATAGACCTATAAACATTATTATTAATAGGTCTATGGTTCACAACTTCCCCACAAAAATATGTTTTGAAAAAGATAATGGGGACGGGTGCAGCCACTGGTGTAGATGGGAAGTTGGTTAAGTAGGATACAGATGGGAATTTAATGTATATCTGAAAGCAACGATAAACTATGGCTACGAAAAAACGATTCTGAGCTGAGTTAAGTTGATAGTGATGTTTCGTCAACAATATATATATGGTATAATAAAATAATTATGTAAGCTTATATTTGTTTAATGTTGTACTGATTTTCCTATGTTTTTTCCCGGTTTTTCACATTTGTTGAGAAAACCCCGAAGAAAATGTATAAATGACCTCTTTAAAGTATCTCCTGAGTAAAATTTCCTTTTAGAAAAATTGCCATCATTAAAAGTTTCAGGGAAATTGCTGTAGAGAAATTGTTTACAGAAGAAAAAAATCGTAATATACGTAATTTATTTTTTTCGATTTTTTGCATTTTATGAGAAAATCGAAAATTTATCTTTCTAATGTACCTGCCCACACCAATTTCCTTACAGAAAAGTTGGTACACGTAAAAATCGGAGCAAGTTTTCTAGAAAAAATTTGTCCACCTAAAAATAATAAACATCTTTGTAAAACTATAAGCTTCTTCGCTCCATTAGAATCTAAAATTGTGATTAACGGTCACCCAAAAGTCACCCAAAATGACTGCCGTCCGCTTGAAGAAATTATACCGACAGTGTAATGTAACAATTAGCAGCTATCTATATAACGTCAAGAAATGCCACGGATTGTAAAATATTTTTTTCGGTCAGTTGTCGTCGATTTGGGTAGAACAATACAACACTGGTACAAACAACCGGTCCCCTCGGCCATTATCAGAATTAAATTTTCGATAAGACTATCAGCGAACACGAATCTGTATTTGTTTATCGCCTATCGGTTTTATGTTTTTACAATTTACACTTGTTTTTCATTAAACTCAAAAATCTTTTTCAGAAGTTGTAGGAATATTATTAAAAAAAATTATAAATTCTAGTTTATCATTCATCGTACGAATAACTCGAAATGGTAAAATTGATGGTTTAATCGTTTTAGTGTTTTCCTAATGGTATAGGTTCACCTAAAACAAAATAAATTTTTTATTTGCCATATTGGATAATATTTACTATTTACCTATTTGTATATTTTTTTTTTTCTTATTTTCTAGTGTTCGGTGTTGGTAATTGGTGATATGCACGTACCGTTCCGTAGTAGTGGACTTCCAGCACAATTCAAGAAATTGCTGACTCCGGGGAAAATACAACATGTCTTGTGTACAGGTAACTTGTGCACAAAAGAAATGTACGAATTCTTAAAATCGATCGCCAATGACGTGCACGTCGTACGTGGTGATTTTGATGAGGTAGTGCATACATACAAGTTATTTCTCATAATTATAATTATAATATAACTATTTTTAATTAGATTTTTTTTTTTTCCTAGAACCTTAACTACCCCGACCAAAAAGTAGTGAATGTCGGTCAATTTAAGGTGGGCTTATGTCATGGCCATCAAGTGATACCATGGGGAGATCCCGAATCTTTGTCGTTGCTCCAAAGGCAATTGGATGTTGATGTACTGGTATTTGGGCACACTCATAAATTTGACGCCTTTGAACTCGGCAATAAGTTTTTTTTGAATCCAGGATCAGCTACTGGTGCTTTTAATCCTTTAAATCCGTAAGAATTTTTATGTTAATATTATAGGCACTTTTAAATTACTGCTTTAAATATGATACTGACAATCACCCGTACATAAATTCTTTTAGACATTTATAAGATTATTTGAGATTAAAATTATGTACCTATTATGATTTACATAATATAAAGAAAAATTGTTTTGATAAATGTATGCCTTTAGTAGTATAATAATGCATAATAGCAAACAAAGAAAGTGAATAGCTCAACAAAATAAATGTCTGGTGAATAATAATAATTATTACTAACCAAGATAATAAAGTCTTTTAATATTATTTATTTTTTTTACTAACTTAATTAAATATTACAATAATTTATGTGTTTCTGTCAAAAATATCTTATCTTATAATAGCCACATCTTATTGTGGCTGTATAAGTGACCCACTATGTATAGTTTTTCTATCCAATTAATAATATATCTATACAATTGAAATGGGCGATCTGCTCATTTTTATTGGATAATGGTTTTGTTATAAAAAATATTTTGATAGATAACAATAATGTACTTTTTTGATGATATTTTACTCTACCTGTGTTTTAGTTGTAATCATGTAATATTCATAATTTTTATTAAACATTATGTTTGAAATTTTCTTTTAGGCTTCATACCTACAAAAATATATATAAAAAAAGTTCTTAATATTTTGAAAAATATAACATGCAATTTAATACTAATCTTATAAATAATTTTAATATTAATGTACATTCAATTTTGGCCTTAAGAAATATTTTTTATTTCTTTATATAAATAATAATACAGGTACAGATAGATAGAGAAACCAGACATTCTGAATTAGTTTTATAGTAGTAAAAAAACAATTAATTTTTAAGTTTTATTTTTGAAAACAAAAAGTAAATTAAATGTAACAAGACAAAAACATTTTAATTTCTAAAAACAATGCACATCAAAAGAATAATACTATTTCCATATATCCATTCCAGGAATAAAATTCTGAGATTTTATTTAGCACTTTGTAACACTTCTCTGACAATTTCAGCAATTTATTGTGGAATCTTCATTTTAAACTTTGTAATTGTTGTTAGGAAAGTGCTTCACATTTCACTTTTAAGACTGCTCCATAAGGAGAAATTGCATTCTGACAAGTCAGGTGATCTCGGGAGCCAATAAATGTTGACTATGAAATTAAACTCTGTGATTGTTTTCCGTTTGTTACCACTATGTACATTACTATTATATTTATTATCAGAAATCAATTTTTAGATAATTGTTTTAAAATTAACAAACTAATTGAACTTTTATTTAAAATAACTTGTAATTTTCATTTTATTTATTTATTTTTAATGTTAAAATTTTTTGTTTACTGTATGGTATAATATTTAAATTCTAAATTTAAATTGCATTCTATTAACATATAACAACCTATGTAAGTATAAAAATAATAGAAATTAATATTAAAATTTAACTTTTTTTATCATCTAATTTTAAAGATAACACTAAATATAAGTTAATGATTATTGTAATAAATTATTATATTTTTAACACATCATCGGGTAGCTAAAACATTATAAGCTTAATTATTTAAGTACTTATAATTTAAATAAACAATTTGAACTACTTTACTTACATTTATGTAAATAAATGGTAATTTTATTCATAAAGATTGAGGTGTTTTTAATTTGATTTAAAAAGTATGCCACCATAAATATAAAAAATATTCTATGGTTTTTGCTCTAAACAGTTTCATGATAACAATATTATCCTTTTTGTGGAATAATATAACATAACTGCAATCCTTTAATATTTTTCGTTCTAGTTTATTACATATTATTTACTATTAAATGTATACATTTTTTTTTTTAGGGATATTATTCCTTCATTTGTGGTTATGGATATTCAAAGTTCCACAGTTGTATCGTATGTCTACAGGTTGGTCGACGATGAAGTAAAAATTGAAAAAATCCAATACACTAAAAAATAAACTGTGATTGATAGTTTTATACAGATAATATTGCATTTTTACATATAACATTATTTTTATACTGGCTAAAAGTTGTTATTGTCTATAATATTATTCGTACACTTATTTATTTATTGCAAATTTTTATAGATTATAATAGTAGCAGCAATTATTTTTAATAATTATAGTTATGCCATTATTATATAGAAATATCCTTTATATAGAATATAATATAATGTTTTCACGGTTACACTTATTTAGTTTATACAATTCTGTGTACTTGTTAAGTACAATAATTTAATTTGTACAAGTTATTTTCTCAAATTATTATCATCAAATTTATTTTAAATTTCATATTTATCAGAGTTTTAAATTGTAATGTTTTATATATAATTAAATTAAAATATTTGTTCTTTAAAATAAAATTTTTAGTTTGATAATATTGGTTTTAAAAAAAATCATTGTCATTATTTGATTTGTTAGTTTTTTATTAATAATATTTGTTTTTTTATCACAAAGTTTCATAATTCAATTTATTGCAATTTGTAACACATCAGTGTTTTTCAAATATGTGCTTTAGTTTAAGTATAGTAATAATGAAATGATATGAATGTAGGAATGATGAAATGAAAGAGGGATTTGAGTTTAAACAATTAAAATTTTGAACAATGGGCGGGTTATTTGTGTTTTATGCACATAAAAATAATGATTATGTTAGTTTTCAGTTAAAATTTTAAAATTTTTTTCGGAAGGAGTTATGGTTGATTTTGATGAGCTGAGTGTTAGGTGTACTAATATGTAATAATTATATGTAATAATTGTAATAGTTAAAATACTTATTTTTGTCTTCTAAGTATTTGTTATATTAACTTATTTGTTTATATTTTATAAAATGTTCATATCAAAAAAACAACTGGAGATTATCATTATAAATGCCTAAATAAATATGTTAATTAGAAATATTTATCATAAAAAAAACAGCTATTAATCTAACTAGAAATTATAAATATGTACCAATCGGTTAATTTTTTTCTTATTATCATTAATCATTTGACAATTAAAACCTGGCAATACCTGCATTTTATAACAATAACTGTAGGTATCATACTCAGTGTTGGAAAGGAACAAAGCTTGGAACGATTTTAAATATAAGAATGAGGAACAGAAAATGTTCCTATTTATATGGAACGTAAACGCAAATTTCCGTTCTTTCTATTAAGAAAACAAAAAAAATGAAACTCACATTAGTTAAGTGATAATATTTTTTGGAAATTGTTTAGTGTTTGTATCATACTTCATGACTGTAAAAAGACACAAGTTAAGTGATGCTTTGTTAGAAAAATCAGTCTTTAAACAAAACAAAATGTCTGTAATAATTTTTTTTTTTTGTACATATAATTAATAAAATATTTTGAATTTTAAATAAATTGATGAAATATTTTCATTTTTTACGGTAGGAAATAAGAAATTTATTTTATTTATTTATTAGGATTTTAAATATGTAGATTCTAAAAAGTATGAGTAGTTTTCAATTTTGGTTAATCTAGCTACCTTTATAAATATGTAATATGTAATAACGAGTTCCTTTTTTGCAGTAGGAGGGGAAAGAAATTCCTTTTTAAAAGAAACTTTCCCAACACTGAATTCATACTATAAATATTATAGTAATATTATTTATATATTTAAACATATAAGGGGAAGTTATTTTTGAAAAATGGGGAGATACCGAACCTAAGCATCTTTGGAGATCAATGTTACGAACGCTGTTTTTCTCAATTTTTTTTAGAATATAGAGGTGTATGGGTGCACAATATGATAATAATGGAAATAATTATACTAATTAATATTTGTACTTGTTTAATAGGGTAGGTACCAATTAATTTAGTAAAAATATTGGAAATTATTGGTGTGTGAGTACTGCAAAGTGCAGGGTGACTATAGCTTGTTGCTTCTGCCTCTGGGTTGTCTTATGTTTGTTTCGCCACTGCTAACCAAGTACACGGACACGTCGCTTTTGAATTGGATACACGGTGATGATGATGGTACCTATTGACCTCGCCCCGCGATGCACCTATATTTTGGTGTCAAAAAATGTCTGACCAATAGTAGCGCGCGCTTAACAATAACAACGCGAAGTGATTATTATAATATTTAATATTAATATGCACATATTTTGTCATTGTCTCGATCTAGTTACCTAGTTTTAATCGTCGTATAATTTTAAACGAAAGTACCTACTCGATAAAAATATTTTTTTTTACGTCCCTATCGTTCCGACAGCCGCGGAACTTTCAGCGGTTCGACTACACGCTACGAGTTCGCCTTCGAACGCCCGGTCAAACCGGATCGCGCATTTTCAACTGTAATACAGAATTTGGAAGTTGCGGAACGACTACCCAAGGTCTACCGCATTTGCGAGAAACGTGTTTCGTCCCCGGTAGTTTTCGCATTCCGTTTCTGCGACGAGTACGTAGGTAGTCTTAGACCGTTTGAATTTTTTTCCCCTTTCAGTTCCGTTTCGGTTCTCGTGCTTCTGACCATAATCACTGGGTGTTTTGGTAAGCCCTGTATGTATTAAGTCCCTATATCGGATCGCGATTATGCGCGCAGTCGGCCGCGACGCACTATTATCAGAAAAGGAGATTCTGCTGTTTACCGCAAAGACCGAGGCTACCTCAGTTCGATCCGGATCATGGAAAACGATTGGGGACGGGCGAAATCCCTTTCGCTGGAGGAAAAGAAATACCTGTTGACTGTGAAGAGAGGAGACGTGGCCAACGTGCAGAGGTGAGTTTTTTCGGATTAATAAATCCCGACGAGGGGAAATATGTATGCGCAATTCATATTTTAGACAGAACCGAATCCAACTGCATATACTGAATAGTTACAATTACCTAATGGGAAATATACCTATCCCCTAACCCCTGAAATATCAGGAAAACCAAGAATGGGTTAGGACATGGCACTAGGATGGGTAGTAGCCGAGTATAGACCACCGATTTACGTTACTGGAAATTTAAAAGTATTTCTGGGTGTTTTAGTTAATGTTCAGCTGTAAAGTGTAAATTATTTGCATAAACGAAAACGATTCCGAGTGGAACAGCTCAGTTAAACAGATTTGAAATGCCATAAATTAACGGTGTATTAGTTTAAATACATTTTGGTGTTGAAATTTTCGACTTCCGTCAACCTGTTGATGAGATATTCCACTTTTAACATTAGTAAGGGGATTGGTAGCAAGGGCATCTACAAGAGGGGTGAGGGGGACAACTCCCCCTAGGTTTCCGGCAAGTTAAAATAATTTTATCAAAATTCAATATCTCAAAATCCCAAAATCCATTATTGGTATTAAGGTGTATTGATATTTGTCAATACTTTATCAATACACCTGTATGGTACCTAGTCGGTAGGTATATTTCACGATAATAGAATTGCACTCTATGATTTGAAGTCGGTACCAAGCACTACAGCCGATTATTTGTGGATAGTCGACTTGCTGTTATTTAATATGTGAGAAACGTTTATCTGGATTATGTATGTTAAGTTTACATAAGAAAAATTTCGAAAAACTTAGCAGAAAAAGTTGTTGATGAATTCGGGTGAAATAAAATTGCAGTACGTGTTTAATTAGCTACTATAAGTTGAAAATCCGATATTATACCATAATACCTTTATAAATCTTTGAAAATACATATAATACATTAATAAAAGGTGTTTGATTATTCATACAAATTAAGGCTGTCCCCCCTGAAGTTTCGCTTCCGCGCGCCTTTGACTGACAGTGGTGACAAAGCACGCGCCGTTCATTAACGAGTGAATCCGCTTAAATGCGGAGGGAATGAAATGTCGGAACGTCGACAAATATTTCACGTAACTAACTGCTGGGCGGACGAGGTTCGCGTTTTTTTTAAAATAAAGTGAAGCGCGAATCTTTTAGAGCATTTTGACAGACAAATCGTTTTCCGAAAGAGAAAAAAACCGCGTCCTATCGGAACTATAATAGAATCCACTCGGAAATCGAATAACAATAAGAAATCGTACCACTTGTGAAACCCGGTGTGATTATAGGTTATAGCCTATAGGCATTGAAAACAAATTAAAAAATGGAGACCTTTTTTTTTTTTAAAATTTATGTCGAACTTCCATCCAGACTCTTTTTTGCTGCGCGTTCGTTCCTGTAAACGGACTGGTACCTATACGTACAGACACGCCGAAGACCTTGGAATAATAAAATATTGTTGTCGGGAACTCGGTATAACTGTCGTAACTTGGAATATTTCGCTGCGCGGTAGGCGACAATAATCATTATCCTATGTTGCATTTCGATTATGACTCCGACGATCACTTCAGACACGCGAACGAACGAAACGGATCGTTTCGCGACACACACGTGACACGTCTCGCGGTTTGACGGTGTCGCGTTTTTCACGCCCGCAAACACGACGACCCCGAACAAACTTTAATAATAAAACAAAACGAGTAAAAACGTTTTCGCGCCTCGCGCGTTATGCACGCGACGATACCCGACGTGCCCTTGTCGGGTTTAATTCGTTTTTTTTTTTTAAGGATACCGCTCGCGCGTTTAACAGTTACGATATCATCGACGATTTAAATGAAATCGTTATTTATTATTGCGATTCTAGTTCATTGCGTGGTGCACGCGGGCGAAAACCATATTGATATTATAATTATGGAATACAAACTCGTAAACCTATCGGTTATACCTACAACCTACTATCGTATATTGTTTACCGTCAACGTGGAGTAGGCAAATGAAATACTTTGGTATAATGAGTTCACGGTGAATACACCAAATATTATGATTGTGAATGCGGCCAGACGCAGTGGCGTGCCCAGGCCCATTTTTAACGGTAAAAAAATGGTAAAAAAGAACATAATCATAAATATATCGCAGTTTTCTTAGTCATTATCCAATTAGACAATGAGAATTTAGAAGCCCGTGCCAAAACCCTATATTCAATCAATGAATCAAACTTTTTCCTGTTACTTGTAATGTATACATTTCAATATTAAATTACTAAATAAGCACTGACAAGTACTGATAAGTATTAAAAATACCAATGCGTGGGAGGGGGAATATGATACCTAAGTAGTAAGTAACTACCTATTAACAAGGAGACAGTTGTCCAATATTGACGGCCATATTGAATACTATATTTGTTGTGTGGATTATCGTTTGTAACATTTGAAATACCTATTTGTTGGTTAATAAAAATTGACAAAACGTTACTCACTTTGTTCATTAAAACATTTTATTATTTAACGGTTTAAAATATTTTTTATTGATTTGAAAAGAAAAAAGAAAAAAAGATGGACATACTTCGCACCACGGCTGGGCCACTGTTGTAGGCGAGAAGTTGGGAAGGTAGGATATAGGGGGAAATTTAATTTATATGTGTAAGCAATGATAAACCATTGCTAACGAAAATTGATTTGGAGTATAGTTCGGTTATACGGTCATGTTTTGAAAGGTTATAGTATTTACGATTTTCGTTAAAATTTGATATTAAAATATTTATAAAATAAAACTCGCAAAAAACGTCTATAATTAGTTTAAAAACGGTTCAAATATTTTTAACATTTTACCACGTCTAGAAAAGACGAATACCAGTTTTGTGTTAAAATTTTAAGTCTATACGAATTTTTTTAACTGAATTAAAAAAAAATTGAAAATAATAAATATTGTACATTCTCCCACGTTTTTTATACGTTTTTTTAATTATTATAAAAGTCACTTGGAAAATCAAAAAATTAATTCCTTTTAAATACCTGCAACTAGATATAATTTCTTTTCAGAACACTTTACACATCGAAAAGATTTTTGGTAGACATTTTGTATACACAGTATAAAAAAAGAAAAAAAAAATCATTGTAAAACCAATACATTCCTCGCAACGCTCAGAGTCTAAAAATGTTTTTATTTTTTTTTTTTGTAAAAAGAGAACAATTTTTATAGGTCGTATTAAACGATTTGATACCGATTTTTGATTAATCTGTATGTTATTTCAAAAATGTTAAAACACTGAATGCCTTAACCGTTTGAAAAAAAAAAAAAACCCGATTAGGTTTAAGAGGGTACGCGGCGTGCGTGTTATAAAAAGTGCTCGCCGTAAAATTGTCTGTATTTCTATTTTATAATAATATACAATTTAAATGCGATAAAATCGATTATAATATATTATTTTAGACGATTATATAATTTAAGTTATCTAAAAGAAAAAAAAAAAAGCCAGCGTACGGGAACAGAAGTGTGTATAAAGAAAAAAAAAAAAAATTGATAACTGAATTTTGATACATTTCATTTGTTTCTAAATCTACTATATAAATAAATTTAGTTACGTAATCCTATCCTTTGTCCGAGCAAAAAAAAAAAAAAAAAACTCTCGTTTTCGTTCGGAATATTTGTTATACTTATAGACGGAATTCCGGCAATATTAAATCGGCAACGCACTTACCTATATGCGGCACGTTTTAATTACAATAAATTGACAATTTTCGATCCGACCGCGGGAACCGAAACCGCCGAATAAATCAAAAACATGGCAACGTTTCCGATGAGTCAATAGGTCGTCAAGGTTATTGTGCTTTGCTTACGCGGGTATAATAATTTCATTGCTACTGATATGCGTGCCTATTATAAACGGCGATTTTCCGTTTAAAAGTCCGACGGAATCCCCGAGTCCCGCGATTACAAAATGTGTCCCACATTTCAATTATTTTATTAAAAACAGGCCGCGTCCTGCGCCCGGCGTTTCCCGCGCCAATTGTTTTTGTTACGTTCACCTTTATTTTCCCGCATTGCTTTGCCCGTATCAGTATACCGAACGAAAGAAAATGGGCTGAGTGAGTCCGGTGGACCTAAAAAGTGTTCTATAGTGTGTCATACTTTTTTTCAACCGCGTTACCACGGATACTCGCACAGCACATTATCACGCGTTATTAAATTATATTGAATCCACTAAAATGACGCTAAAATTATGAGGACAGTGTACTCCAGTGCAGGGGAGAACGCAGGAAAATATATTTTTTTTTTTTTTTGGGAGGGGGGAGAGGTGAAAAAGTATAAAATGTTCATAAATATCATATGGGCACTTATACTATATAATTTATTGTATAAGTATATATACATATATATATTAATCGATTATCACAATTTGTCAATAAAAAATAAAACATTGCGTTTATTAATATATCAATATCGTCGTCGTGGAAATTCATTATTTCATATTTGGGGAAATGTTATTACACTGCGCGGGTATATTATAACAACAGAATTCGAAACTAAATAAATAATCGTACAGATTATTCGCATTACGATTTGCACCAGATTGTGACATTTCGGGTTTCCGGCTATTAGTTGGCGGGCTGTCTACGGACGGTTTGTTTGAATCCACACCAATCGGAACTCGGGTGGTACTTGTGTTTTGTGATTTAAAAACCCTGTAAAACCGAACTCGTTTTGAATTTTCGTATTTGCGTTTTTAATACGACGGCGTCGTAACAATACGTCAATCGAAATTAGCGAACAGCGGTACAACAAGACACGCCGGTGCGTTCGTTATGGCGGCGTAGACGCGTGGTTTAGATTGTTCAAATGCAATTTCTGGAATTATCTGTATTCCGGATAATACGGGTCATTGGGAATTTCCCGTAATATATTGGCGGCGACGATAATTTATTACGCTCGTCTACATCATCGAATTTCGCGGCGACAGGTGGTGTCAATCAGTTGTTTATGACACAATCACCGGGCAATCGTACAGTGTAATGATAATTTCATTGTACACGTAAATTTATAAACCCCAAAAAACTTTTAAATAAACAATAATTACTGATTATTATCATATTACAGTGTTATTGTTAATCAATAGCTAATCGTTTTTCAAAACTAATTTATTAGTATTTCTAGGTCAGGTAATTAAATTGTTTTGTTCCTGATATTTCGGAGGAGGTGTTTAAACCCCCGAATCCTCCCCCCCCTCTGCGTTCGTCCCTGCTCTAGTGTTATTAATGTACCAGAAAATACAAAGATTCAAAGACGGCGTTTTACGTGTTTTCACTTTTCACTTATCCGCCCAGTACAGCGCATAGTTTTGTGTTTTTTTCTTCATCCATGCTATCAAGTCGGCCCATCCTATTTCGAGCCAATATTAAACCGCCAGACGGACCGTTTATTTTAAGCTGTCACGGTTGTTATGGCGTTTTTATTTCTGTTTATTGTTTATTTTTTTGTTAAAAATTCTTTCATTCCGTCCGTGTTACTATGGTTATCCATTATTCGACTGAATGCGCCGGACCTATTATATGAGCTAAACTTCTATTGCGAACGTCCGGCGCTAGATTCTCTGCGACGCGTACTCCCTCGTGACTTGCGAGAAAATCTGAATTTTCAAAAGAAGATATTTTAAGTTCATTTTCTTTTCCACCAGTTGAATTTCTGTTGGCAATACTTCCAAATCCAGAAATTCAGAATACACTAGTCATACAAAATCATTTGCCTCTGTTTCAAATTTGCTGTATATTAACAATTGTGCATTGAAGAAATTTGTTTTTTATGATTATTAAACTTTGCTTGAAGTTGTTCTGTGAAATCATCGAAAAAAAGGAATATCTATTGTTATGCGATAGTATTCTTCAAGTGAATTTATAACGACATTAATTCGATGCTTTTGATGTCCAACGATTCTTGGTATTTTTATATCTTCTTCGCTATCTGCTGATTTTATGAGATCCAGTGCTTTTTAAAAAATCTTGGAAAATATAGTATAAATAACCTTGCACGATACTTTTCATGAAACAGAAGGATTTTTTCTCTTGAAACGATTTCGAGGATATCCAGACCTGTTTGTCGTCTATTGAACCTTTTTTAATTAACCCACGAACAATTGATTCGTTCGACGACCGAGTATTATACGGAGTTTCCGAACAGACACGCGAAACTTTCACCATTCGTATAAAATGTTTTTGTAACTAAAACACTATTTTCTGTTGTGTACTTTTTCGTGCCGGTTACTACACAAGAGTTATACGTCACAGCGCAGTAAATATTTGTCAGTTTTTTCTATACGTTTTTTCGGGGTTTTCCCAATTATCATAGAAAATCAGAAACGTTGATCTCAACGCACCAACTAGATCATAAATTTAATTAAAAATATCTCTTGGTATTTTTGATTGAAACACGATTTCTGGTGGAATGGTTATTAATATAGACACAACAAATAAAATGGAGCTGATACTGTGGACGGGTGTGCCTTTATTGTAGATGGGAAGTTGGGAAGGTAGAATACATAAATGTATTTAATTTGTATTTGTAAGCAACGATAAACCATTGCTAACGAAAACGATTTGGAATGGAGTTAAATCTTTTAAATCTTTTGAAAAGCCGTAAAATTTACGATTTTCGTTAAAATGTATATTATATTATTATTAAAACTCGTGTATCAAAAAAAAAAAATAAAATAAAAATACAACGTTACACTTAATAAACAGATCAAAAAATGGTTTAATATTTTGCAGTTTCCTACGTCTAGAAAAAGCAATAATAAGTTCTCTGTCGAAAATCAGCTGTTTTTCTATTAGATCAATATTTCTGATAAAAACATAATCGTAAAAATTACAAACAATGAAATCGATAATGCCACGGTGCACCGTAAATATTTGCCCTTTTACTTATAATTTTTTTTCGGTTTTCAAGATTATTTTGAAAACCCCTTAGAAATTCAAAAAATAACCTTCCAATGCATCAACTAGATAAGATTCCATTTCAAAAAAGGTACTGCACTTGAAAATTGGAGCTAATTTCTGGTAGACATTTTTACACGGTATAAAAAAAACACACATCACAGTAAAACTAATAAATCCCTCGGTACGCTCTGAAGCTAAAAAACTACCTATGGTTTATGAAAAATTGGCACAGATATTCATTTCATATATATGAATAGTATACATTCCGGAATATAGGTTTAACAATAAAATCAGAAACAATTATTGAAAATCACTATCTACACAATCTATACGAAAACAAGTTGCACAATACTAGCTGTCTATCATATTATATAGGTGTATATGATTGTTGTTGATCGAGTGTTAAAATATATTTCTAAAAAATTGGTTGATAACCTTATACCGTAATGTTGTAATAACATTGAAATATATCTCCGAAACGCGGAATAAAGTAAAACGAATTAACGAAAGCGCGTAGGTACTAATTTAGAAAAAAAAAAAAAAACAATTTTACCGACGATGTGATCATCCGTGTTAGAGGTTTCAATAAAACACGTGTTTTATTGCATTCGTCACGAGTCCACGAATATAATATGTTTATTTAGTATACACAATACTTACGTGACGTGACAATGATTCGGTTTCACGTGTATTTAAAAAAAAAAAAAATATTTAGATTCCAGTTGATTTATAGCTTATGCCATAATTTTCAACGTTTTACTGAGAACCATTACATCCCGCTTTTTAATGGTTTACCAATAAACAAATAAAATAATAAAATAATTACATTTTTAGGACCTGGAAAAACGTTCATTTTTTGCACCAAATCGTATAAATTTAAGTCATTATCGCGAATTCCATGATTTTCGTTCACTCGGTTCACAGAAATTCTTCGTTATATTGTAAAACCATTGAGCTAATGAAAACAATTATAATTACTTGTATAGGCACGGTGTAAGTCAGATGCTGCATGAATATCATGTATAGCGTGACCACCAATAAGTAGGTAAGTTAAGATTTTTAAAACGGATTTCAGATTTGGGATATTTTAGAAACTACCCTGTTGACTTTAATCTTAAATTAAATTAGTATTTTTATGTTTTCGATAAAGACGATTTTATTTTTTATTCTGCGCGTACGATATACTATATTAATGTATAAAATCGAATATCCATGCATAATTCAAAACGAAAAATAATCATTTTATAAATTTTCTCTAGTAAACATGTTTTTTTGCAGAGCACGTGCACGTGCCGTTATACCGAAAATCGATTGCGCGGTGAAAATCGATAAAAAAAAATAAAAAAATAATGATGACAATGCGCTTTATTCGACTGTAAACATATTTCAATGTTTCGATGCACACGATGCATTCGCATGCGGATCTCGAATTCGTCGCGATCGCAGTAGCCACTTATTAATACGTTTGTTATTTTTTAGGACACTTGTATGGGCTTTTTGACTGACAAAATAGTATATACAGCTAGCTACTAGCATAGAAGAATAAAATTAAAATGTTCTATGGGTCAGCCGTTTGTTTAGATTTAAGATAATATTATAATTTTTTTTTCTTTAAATTTTTCTTTTCAACAACCAGATCGTAATGATCGACATAAATGTGTTACTGTTATTCACGTATAATTTTCCCGCCTTCTTTATCGTGAAATCGATTTTTAAAATTATTTAAAAATCCTTACTTCTATTTCGAACTAAACACAAATGGGCGTGCAAATTTAAAATGTTATTTATGTAGGTATGTATAATCGTATTATAATGAATATTTCGTTTCTTTATTTTATTTTTCCATCGTTTTGTTCATAATATTATATCGTTGAAATAATTGCGTCCAAAGAATAATTATAACGTCGAAGTGCAATGTTTCTATACTTATATAGGTACTTACGTGACATATCTCCGAGGGAAAAAAATGCGGACGGCTTATGAATTCCCGCCAAACAGGATTAAATCTGTACACTCGAACGAACACCGTCGAATCCGGTTCGAATTTCGCAATACAATAAAATAACGTGAACCATTTCCTTGTGTGTACAACTATATACACTATCGTATGTATATTGTGCATTTTTTTTAAGAGCGTTGTACTCGTTCTTTATAGGAAACGTATACAAAAAAATCGAACGTTTTTCCCCGGTGAATTAATATAATACAGATACCGAGCGGCGCGCATTTTTATTAAATTTTTTAATATTTTATTTTATCTATAAAAGTGAAAATACAATTTCGACCAGAAGATACTTCGATCGTAAACAGTATCATTGATGAAGATTTGTGTGGGTGGTAAATTTAATCTAGTCGATGCATCGAGGACGTTATTAACTTGTAAACTATTTATTTTTTTTTTTACCACATAATGTTAATCTATGCATAATTCTCTAATCTTTATGTAATACAGTGTTTGTTTCGACTAATTAGACACACGTGGTGAACTTTAACGTGCGGTTAATTTACAATACATTTTAGTGTGATAGTAGATAGGTATAATTTATAAGTTTGAAAACAATCTACGATTTCCAATATTTTATAAGTAATCGGAATATATAGATTGAATTTAGATCTTTAAAATTAAATTTTAAGTATATAAATTAAGTAAAGTAAAATTATTATTCCCATGATAAATCAAATAAGAATAAATGCGAGTTGTCCGTGTGTAAACGTTTTGAGTTAAGTATTACGTTTAAACAATAATTACTAATTTAGACGATTTATACTAGTTAAATTGTCGAAAAAAAGAAAAAAAAGAAAAGGAATTTATAAATAATACCCAATAAATAAATTTAATATCGACTAATTTTGATCTGAATTTTATTTGCAGAAAACTAAACTTGAAGTTCGGATAGAGTGTATTTAATTATCGATTGGGTATCTATAAAATGTTTTTTTTTTTGCAGATGATATTATAGTATAATAATATTATCAATGGTTTAAGTAAACAATTTCTAAATGTTCTATACTGTTTAATTTTATGTATTCGTATCAAATTTTTCGTTACAGAGATTTTATACTATATAAAATTTCGTATAGTTAATGATACTAGAGGATTCCGATTATGTATTATATAAAAATATATAATATATAATATAATAAGTTTCGAAGTATTGATTAACGACTGAAAATAAATTTAACGATAATTGATGATATGTAAATTGCTACGTGTTAGAAAAATGAAAAATGATATAATATTTTTTCGTGCTGAAAATTCGATTTTCGCTCTTGATTCTTTATATAGTAAAGAGCTGTAGTGAAACCGGAAGAATTTTGAGACAAATTGCGTCATTAATATCACTTTTTTTTCGGTGATAAAATATTTACCATTATTTTTTTATCGTTTCGTAAGAAATGTTTAAATTGTTTATCTACTTCATTTTATCTATATATTTTCTTTATGACGTAATTCCAGTAAATGAACGTTGGTTTTGATCTCTGATTGGTCGAATCGTTAATTTGTTTTGATTGGCCAATATTTTAAAATAGGCATAAGAAGTATATGTAAATTGAATATTGTTATAAAACATTCTTGGATTTTCTCGAGCAATTACGCTATTTACAATCATTTTTTAAACGAAAATATATTTCAAATATTTATTGGACTCTATATTTGATTTTTAATTAACGTAATTAAAAACTGATCTTTTATTTTCTATAAGTAGGTGCATAGTACATGTACCTATACGTATAATATAGTATAATATATATATTATGTACTCATAAAATATTTTTTTTTAATTATTTATTATTAACATAATTTAAACTTTCCTAGTAAATGCCAAAAAAAAAAGAAAGTTTTTTGTGAAAATTTCAGGTTTCTATGATTATTTTTAACCAAACTACAATTAAAAATCAAAATCAAAAATAATGAAATTACTATGGCTGTACATTTTCCTGATTTTCATTAGTTTTTTTTTCAGTTTTTCCTAATTATAAAGAAAAGTACAATAAAAATAAAATCAACATATTCCTCAGTGTATCAACTAGAAAGCATTGATTCCAGAAATGATACTAAACTTGCAAATTGGAGCAAGATTTCTAGTAGATAAGTTGGCTTTTAGAAACAGAAAAAAAAACATCATATAGGAACAAAATTTGAAAAACTCTTAACAATTAATAAATTATATGATTGGTTTTTGGTAAATCAAGATTAGTATTTTATTTAACTTCAATGATTATAAGAAAAAAAAATGGCCACTATTTGTATTATTATACAGAGTCGAGGGTATGGTTATGTTAAAATATATGTTTAGGGTTGATATAAATGCTGTATAAATAGATATTATAAATCGTAAAGACATTAGAGACATTATTTACCGAAAAATTTTAAAAAAAAGTTTTAAAAATATGAGACATTTATCGACTTATTTTAATACATATATTTAAAAAAACATCGAGCGGAATGATAATAGCACTATAAAAGTTATACCGAGTTACACTTAAACTATCATAATACAAATTACCAGTTTTATTGTGTGTATCAGTGATGATTTCGAGTAAATTTGATTCTGGTATTTTCCGTAATTTTTCAAACATTTTTTTTTTTATGTTTTGTGCAACATATTCAATTGTCTGCCATTTATACGCTGCGTGAGTTAAAACAGTAGTGGTTAAAAAAAACTACAGTGTTCTTAGATAAGGGAATTTTTTTAACATGATGTATAATATTATTATAATATTTAATTGGACATTTAAATACACCTATAATTGAGGATTATTATTTATTATACAGGATATACGTCAGTCATGTAATTACTTGATCCGTTATCATCATTTTATCCGAAGTTATTTTTGGGTGATTTTTTTTTATAATAATAATTTGTTCAAAAGAGGAATAAAACGGGCAGAAGCCTAATAGTTCAGATGAGAAAACTCTGAGATTATATTAATGTAATCTAGGTAAAACATTTTTTTCGACCAACTTTAAATTTAATTTTTCTAACAAATTTATTTCAGTTTTTTTTTTCTATACTTTTTTTTTATAGGCGTAATTATTTAATTGTGTATTTATTCGATATTTTTCATAGATGAGCAACTAAGACAATAGAAGCCATTATAAATATTTTAGAATTGCGTAAATAATATAATTTTTTCTGAAATATTAAGTTATTTAGTAAATAATTTGTTCATAATAAAAATTGAATGTAGAGGAACAATTATTTTCTGTACGATATTTTATAGCAGGTATACAGAGATATTTTTTGTCTCAACGATTTGAATTGTACGAATAATCCGATTTGGATACAATTTAAAATTTGGATGTTATTATCAGTCCTCAGAGGTGTATCCAGGATTTATTAATGGGGATGGGGATTTTAGAGGTTTTAGAGGTTTAGGGAGAGTCTACAACTTTCTTAACGTTACCTGTAGGCAAAAATGCAACGGGGAGGTGGATTACAATATCAAAAACCCCTTTGGCTACGCCACTGTCAACACTAATTTATTCGAGAATAAAACACTCTATACATAATTCGTACCTATGCTTAGTTTTATTTTTTTACAATTTGTTTTTATTTATTTTGTATAGGATGATTCAACGAGCCTTTCGGTCGGGACACATTGACATAGATTGCGTTGACTCTTTCGGCCGTGGTGCTATCAAATTGGCCATTGATGCGGAAAATTTGGAAATGCTCGAAATGCTGGTGGTGATGGGTGTCGGGCCTAAGGATAATCTATTGCATGCCATCAACGTCGAATTTGTCGAGGCCGTAGAGCTCCTTCTCCAATACGAAGAACTAGTGCATACGGAAGGAGAACCTTATGTGAGTGTACCTTTTCGAATTACCTACTATAATTTTACTCATCAAAATGTGTTATTTATTTCAATCCGTTAAAATCTACAAAATATGATCCAAGAGCAACCTAAAAAGACAAACTAAAACATCTATAAATGTAAAAATCAAAATTACCCTCTGAACTACCCCCATAAAAAGCCTAAATCAATTTTACATTCAATTAAAAATGTGAAAATTAAAATACAAATAAAATATTGAGCTTTTATGTAATAATTTTAAATAGTAAGGACCTTGTAGTTTTAGTTATTTTAAGTTAGTGTTCTGTACTAGTTAAGTATGACCGTACGACCACGACGTAAAATGCGTCAAGCTCAAAACACCATTTTTGTGATTGTGACGTTCAAAAACTTCTGTAATTACTGTGTATCCGAATTTCTCAAAAGACATTGAGTCCTGCAATTTTATTCTATTACAATTATTCATTTGAATTTTTGAAAATTATACTTTTTTGAGAAATTTTCAATCACATACATGTTTTCGACAGCAAAACGTTTTAAAATATATTAACGTATAACGTACTATTTTAATATTTTGCGAAGTTGATACTGTCGTAGGTTGATAGTTGGGTAGGTGATCCTACGATAGTTGGGAAGGTAGGATATATAGGGTAATTAGATTATGTACTGTGTTTAACGATAAATCGTTGAAAATGAAAAACGATTCTGAGCATGGAAGTGTCAGTAGTTGTGTTTTTCATTATTGCCAAGGTAACTAAAAAGCCAATAAAAATAATAAAAAGTACTAACCTGGAGTGTGAATTGCTAAAAATTCTGATAAATGTTTTAAATAAAGTACCACGAAGCAAAGAATCTGATTCTTATAAAATTTAAGGTATGACATGAAAAAATTCATATATCTTAGTAAAACAATTAACTTCTTTACTACACTCGGAATATAATATTAAATTTCGCATTAAAAATTAAATTTAATAAATATTATTGTTCGCCTTTAACAAAACTATTACATCATATTTTGTATCAATAGAGTTGGGAAAAAGTCGATTGGAATATTGCTTATTTCACGCCGGACATTACACCTCTCATTTTAGCCGCGCACAAGAATAACTACGAAATCATCAAAATGTTATTAGACCGAGGGGCAACTTTACCGATGCCACATACAATCAAGTATTTATATACGACTAACTATTATTACACTCACTCGTATATCATATGATAATATTATTTATTTTGAAGGCTTTAAACTAGATTTTGTTCATTTTGTTCGATTTGATCGTTAAAATATTATATCCATATTATAATCGTTCAACACACCTAATATTTGTTATTTATTTTTATTACCTATAGTAGTATAGTAGGTTGGTAGGTCTACTAGTCTTTTGAGTTTCCAGTTTATTTATTATTATTATTATTATTTTTTTTTAAATTCAATAATCAAATTATTTTCCACATAATTTGCCTATTAATCACTTCTTTTATTCAATCGTAATTAAAAATATAATATGATTTTGCGTCATAATAAACATATTTTAAGCGCAATATTGGATTTTTTTTTTTACTTTTACAAAATATAAAATGTATGGTTTTCGTATATTTTAAAATTTGTATGAAACAATATTATTAATCACTAGGTAAGAGATAACAATTATATTGCTTGCGTCATTAGTAAATATGTATATAGAATACACAAGAATACATTTATCTGTTAATTTATTGACATAGAACTGCATTTGTTCTGTAATCTTTTTGTATTTCGGGTGCACGCATATTTTCTATACACGCGTTGCGATTATTTTAGTTCAATTTCTTAGCGAAAAACGTTTATAAATTTCTTTTTATTTTCGGTATTTTGATTTCAGTAATATTCAGTAATAAGTTATGTGAACGCACCTATAATATTATATGACATTCAAACCATCGTTATAATTGTTAATTAAAAAACTTCGTTATATGGGTAGAACCACGATGATGGTAATATACACACCCAGAGTCATAGGTTCCTCCTCGAACCGCGTATACCAGTATTATACCCAATAATTGTTATAAACTCATTCATTAAAATACGGATTAAACTTTAATCATTTTTTTTTTTTTTTAAACATTATTATCTTTTCATTTCCTTCTCTTTTTATTATACGTTCGCCGCCACGAGACGTATCGAATAACTATCTCGTTACCATAATATAATCATATATAATATACGTCATATACTTATAGTACCTACGCAATAATATAGGTACCGCATGTGCTTAAGATAATAATAATAATATAAGAAAAAAAAAAAAAAATTATACGCAGGTGCGGATGCGATAAATGTATTACGGCGTCGAAAACAGATTCGTTGCGATATTCGATGTGTCGGGTGAACGAGTACAGAGCATTGGCAAGTCCGTCGTTGATGGCACTCTCGTCGGCCGATCCTATACTCACCGCGTTCCAATTGTCGTGGGAATTGAGAAGGTTAAGCAGATTAGAAAAAGAATTTACCAACGAGTATATGGTATATCTATATTAATATTGTATGCAATAAACCGATTTCCGATAAAAATAAAATGTATAATAGCTACGGGCGCCCATTTTCAAGAGAGAGACAAACTGTTGGTTTCCAATCACGCATTTAAAGACCAATATCTATAAGGGGATATCCAAATACGTATTTTAAGTCCAATATACGAGGGAGTATTCAAAAGTAAACAGACTAAAATGGTAGTGAGACTTTGAGAGGGAGGTTTTTTGCTAAGAATCGATTTCTACTAACAGTATTATTTAGAGTAACCTACTGCTAGTTAGTTTTCCAATAACGATAAATTCCAAGACAATTAAAAAATGATCTCAGAAACAAAAAAAAACATAACGAACAGAGTCTGCTGATGCCACTAATGGGTCTGTCACCATTGTAAGTGGATAATAGGATACATACATTAATTTAATTTATATTTGTTTGCATAAATCATTGCTGACGAAATACGATTCTTAGCGAAGTTCAGTTAAACATGGTTTGAAATGTCATAAGAATTTGAACTTAAAACATGTATACGAAAAAAACTACTACATCACACTCAACTACTTTGTACACTGTATAATTTAGTGTTTCGTTTTAAATTTTCAAGCATTTCTGTTTTTTAAAACAATTTCATCAACATAAAACCAAAAAAAAAAACCTCGAAAAGGTCAAACGTCTATAAACAACTTAAAAATCACAAAAATTGTTTAAATATTCAAGCCTAGAAAAAGCTAAATACATTTTCTATGAAAACTTCAGATCTTTAACAATATTTTTGATCGAATCGCAAAAAAACAAAATTGAAAATAATGAAACCGAAAGTTTTACTATTTTTTCTTAATCAAGAAAACTGCGCGGAAGATTAAAAAATGATTTTCTAATGCAACAATTAGATATTATTTTCTTACAGAATAGATACTCTTGAAATTCGGAGGAGGATTTATGGTAGACAAATAGCATTGAACAAATCTAAAATAATGAAACTTTAACTGTCGTAAATTTGTTGTTTTTCCGTTTTTCCAATTATTTTAAAATCTGCAAGGAACTATGATTATATTCATCACAAGAACCGATTATTTTAATGTATTTAAAAAGTTTTACTTATATCATTATTGTTCTATTATATATACATATATTAGGAACTTCGACAACAGTGCGAACAATTTGCGGTAGATCTACTCCGGCAAACACGAAGTTCTTACGAATTAGACGTGATACTAAAACATGACTCGGAAAACGCGCCTAGTATTGGATCCATGAAACTAAGACTCATCGAATTGGCGATAAATTATAAGCAAAAAAACGTAAGTTTGTTAGTATATAGTTTATGTAGATTATACAAGTAAGATACATTGATATTCGTAAACGTTTTATTGTATACATTTTATTTATAGTTTGTAGCACATCCGTTTATACAACAGCTGTTGGCGACCGTTTGGTACGAAGGTTTGCCGGGATTTCGTCGTTTAGGATTGTATAAGCAAACAATCGAAATAATTAAAATCGTTTACTTCTTTCCGTTTTACTGTCTGGTTTACTTGTACGCTCCCAGCGCTCAGATAGGAAAAGTAATGGAGAAACCGTTTATGAAATTTTTAATACATTTATCTTCGTATCTTTCATACTTGGGTGAGTGAGTAGTAAAACTGCATATTACAACACTTGTGTTTATTTTATAATTTTATTTATATATTAGGATTATCGATGGTATTGTGTTATGTTTTGGTAATGACTTAAATAACACGTTAACGTTATCTCGTATACATTTACATTACCTACTGCAGTTGCAATGACATGTCCAGGATTTATCAAGGGGGGAGGGGAGAGGCGAATATTACATGTTTGTCTGTAAATATAAATTTATTTTATAATTACACTTAATAATAATGTATTATTTACTTAATCGATGAAATATGAAAATGAATCACATATACAGTATAATGTCTACCTGCACATAAATATGAAATGTAGAATAAACAAAGTTATTTAATTTATATTTGTAAGCGATGATAAACCATTATTAACGAAAAACGATTCAGTTATGTATATTTTGACACTACACCACTGTACAGTTATATATAGTGTTTGAGTACGTATTTTTAGGAAAGGTGCATTCTAATATGATTGAGTTGTGAGTTACACCATTAAAAAATGTCCAGTTTTTTATTCAGCTTAAACGATGAGGTTAGATTAAAATGATGAACGTAGGTATATGTAGGAACTAAAAATAATCCGACGGATTATTATTCATCTGGTAAATCAAATTTTAATTATCCAATACCGCAAGACAATTTATTAATATACTGTTAAGGCAACACCTATCAGTTTCGCTTCGTTACATAATTTGTATAATATTTAAATCTAAGTACAAGTTATTACGCGTTTATATACTCGTATTGCAATAATCCAACAACTGGTTAACGACCTACTAATAGGTATACCATTGGTCGGATGACGTACCTATTATTGTTATACTGTGAGTTAATTGTGAGTTGTGACCATAGACCTCAGATACTCGGTATTAGGACTGTTTAGCAAATATTAGCATACGATAATATATTATATTAATCGTTGTAAAATTGCAATGCTAGCTCTATTTTTAAACAAAACTACTGCTTGCGTATTTCAAATACCAATAAAGCGATAAAAATTGTAATAGATAATTAGAAAAGCTTTTTATACTTCGCACTTAGGAAAGACCTCTGCCGTTTAGGATGGTCTACTGCTGCAGATGAACTCGTATTATTATACGCGTTCGAAAGCAAGGATCAGTCTGCAGTGTGAGCTCAAAACATTTTAACGACTTATAATTAAATCGGTTTGAGATTTAAAAAGTAAAGCGATTCCGAAAATATACAAAATTTTAAATTTTGTTTATTAACTCAAAAGAAATTTTTTGAGAATAAAATAAACAAAAATCCCACCCTACTCGAAATAATTTCGCTTAACCCAACTATAGTAATAATATTCCATAGGTATACAGATAACGTGATTAAAAATCAACAGTACAGTAATTCAAATTAAAATTTTTAAAACAAAAATTTAATGGTATCTACCTACTTAAATAGTTAAATACCTACCATATATTTTAACAGTTATATAATGAACAGTTTAACTTATCACTAGATTGTCGTTGAAGTTGGTAATTATTTTCGTTGTTTTAAAATGTTAACCCATTTATCATTTAGAACTGATAAAAGAACAATACGTTGTACCTATAATGATGATCAAGACAGGCATGAATTAAAAAAAAAAAAAAAAAACGTAAAAAAGTAGGTTATGTATATTAAGAATTTATACAGTTACGAATGTTCGAGAACGCGAAAATTCTAGAACAATGTCTGCGACAAATTTTAGAATTTAGGTACCTCAAATACTTCATTATATATTATACCATTTTAAACATTACCTATGTAACAATAATAATCAGTTTTTACCAATATAAACTGAATATACCGAACTTGATAAATGTTAAACGTTTGTCACGTAAAATTTGAAATAGTGTAAAATAGGTATAGTAGATAGTTACAAAATAGTATAACGATTAGAATTTAAATTTTATCAACATACAAATAGATGAAAGAAAAAATGTTTGTTTTAATTCGTGTTTTATTGTGTATAGGTTTACTGATACTGGCGTCGCAAAGAGCCGAAACCCAATTCGTAGAACTTTTTGGGTCCAAGTCGATGATCGAAAGTCTACAAGTACGTCAACTCCATCAACGTGGCAATGGGCCATCGTATATCGAGCTATTGATTTTGCATTTCGTCATCGGTAAAGTGATTGTTTTTGATAGTGGTGGTGTATATGCGGGGATTGTCTTGGGGGAAGGTTTACAACATTAAAACTGTGTTTTTTTAAAAAAAATTTAAATCTTTGCCTACACGCAAACCGTAAGTACGCAGTTACATTTCATTATTTTAAGAGATATAATTAACAAACAATAGTTTTCCGATATTATTAATATATATTATATACATAAATAATTATAATACAATAACGAATAAAAACGCAATAGACGAATGATATTATATATGCAAAATAGACAGAAAAAAAAATAGTTTTATTCGCGTTGGTAGTTATGTAATCTTCGTGTTTTTGTACTGAATATTAAAATCGAATTGTAAAAACGATTTTTATAAAAGCGTTTTTTGTCCGCAATTTTGATGTGGCCGTTTGTTTTTTTATGGTTGTATGCATGAAATGGCATAGAAGTCGCGTAGAGGCATTCATGTTTTCGAAATGGGTATAGAAAAATTGAGGTTCGATTATAATAGCCAAATCAATAATTGCCATGTAAAAATGTCCATATACTATATAATCATATTTTTCCATGTCCTTTTTGTATTTAATATAATTAGCCAATTGAAAAATCACTTTTAGATTGGTAAATTTGACGTAAAGTTGTGACTTTTGATACATTGTCACGGTTTTCGCGGTCTACTGGTTCTAATATTATATACCACAGTTAATCGTTTTCCACAGGTTACATTTGGCAGGAAATCTTGGACGTGCAAAAGGATGGTCTGAAGAGATATCTGGAACATAATGCGTGGAATTACGTGGAATTCGCCCGGAACAAAATGTACATAGCAGTTATCGCGTTACGTACTTATGCGTATATCACTGAAAATATTCAAATAACCAATGACCCGTCCTCGGCATACATTCCCCGCGAAAAATGGGATACGTTCGACCCCCAAATTTTAGCCGAGGCTCTGTTCGCCGCCAGCAATATTCTAAGGTGGATCACATAATAATTTAATCGCATAATTTCATATATTATTAGTCAATAGTGCATATGAATTTCATTTTAGGAGGGGGGGAATGAACTGGTATCATAGTATTTACAAGACCGTAACTGAAAACAAATTTCGGGGAGGGATTCAAAATTTGGTTCCATTTTTTTACATTCAAACATATACTACCAGATATCCCTTCTTCCCAGTTATGGATTTGGTTATACACGATCACCACGTCACTCCTTTTCAAACCCACCACTAATATTGGTATTGACAGAAGAAAAAAGAACGATAATGTGTGATTCGTTTGGATTGAATTCGATGCGAAAAAATTAATAGGTTTACCTTGAATGATTTTTTAAATTTTCTTAGATATCTAAATTATAATTACCTATCTTAAGAATGTCGGATGCAAGAATGCAAAGAGTGTGTAGTCCAACATATATTTCGTAACGCATTAAATTGATTTTTCCAAATCAATTTACTTCTTTTAAATACATAATGCGCGTGAAGGTAACTTATATAATATTTTATTATTATAGCACGCGTAGATAATTTTTTTATATGAAATTTGTATAGATATTTCTACGAAACAATGACTTCCAAATTATTATATTGTTCGAATTTTGACGATTGATGAAAATCATGTTAAATAATACAAAATTTAGTCAGTTTTGAACTTGATTTTAATTGTGTCTTTAATATCAATCGATTTATATTTGTCTATATACACATATTTATATTATACAATTATCCACAGTGCTCTGAAGCTGATCCACATGTGTTCGATAAGTTCGCATTTGGGACCGTTACAATTGTCACTGAAACGTATTCTCATTGATATATTTAAGTTCTTCAGCATTTATAGTTTGGTATTGTTTTCGTTCGCTTGCGGACTTAATCAGTTGATGTGGTATTTCGCGGATTTGGAACGAAAAAAATGTTATAGTCTAGAAGAAAACGGATTAACGGAGTCGTGTTCAAAATGGAAGAATTTCGGAAAGTGAGTGCCAAAATGCAAAAATTTTAAATTATTTAAATTACCTAAAAGTAATAAAAAAATTCTGCTCGATTATTATTATATTATCAATTACCCTAATGACCTAAATACAATAATAATAATGATAAATATTAATCTAGTACAAGTTTTATTAAATAAAATTACAATATACAGGATAAGCTGTGCATGTTATATTATGTTCAGCATTTCGATAAAAGTAAACATAAAACATTTTTGTTTAAATTTTATAAGAACTATATAAGTTTAACTGATAAATATAATAATACCATCTATATAATATAGGTAATAGAAAAAATATACATACATTTTTACGATTTAATTAAATTCTAACAACCAATTGAGTATATCGAAATGTACTTAAGAAGACTGGATACGTACCGATTTTCTTTCTTCGGTTAGCTCAGTGGTTCCCAACATTTTAACATTATACGTATCTTTTGATAGGTCGCATACCACTATGATTTGCTTATAGTCTTTTTTTTATTTAACTATTATCTTTCTATTATATTTCTACTCAAATTTTACTTTTTTCCTATTCAACGGATAATAATGAAATAAATGACATTATGTATGATAAATGTGTAAATAAACGACGTAATTATCGCCGATAACCACTACCGCTTTACGTTAAATATTTTTTTCAAATTCGTAGATACTACATGAACCACCACACAATGTCTCGTGGATCATCTGTAGTTCACAGACATTTTATTTTTTGGCAATCGGACCGATCGATGTAGTGAAGCGATAAAAACGTTGAAAACATCATATTTGAATTCAGCATATAAATAGTGTACCTATACAAGATCGTTTGGTCCACTTTTTTTAAATTTTAGTCCTTCTTAATATCCAAAAATTTCATTTAGAGATTTTAAAATTTTAAAAATATAAATAAAATTTAAAATCACGCTGAATTCAAATTTGTTTTCAAAATATTCTTGCCACTTTATTACGTTGATCGAACTGATTACCAGAAAATCGGCCTAAATTGCTGTAATATAATATGTTTTATAAAAATAAAAAATTATCGGTACATTCAACCCTTTGAATATTAAAATTACAGATGTCTTTTGAAACGAGACTTACACATGTATTGTTTTACATGAATTTCACTTTTATGGAAACCAACAATAATAAAACTGTATATTATTATTATTATCATTTATTATCTGGGCAGTGGATTATATTTTCAATTACAAAATAATTGCAATATAAATTAATAGTTTTGATCTCTATACAAATAACTGTTCGCCATAAGATTTAAGTCCAAGGATTTAACTACCGTGCATAATGTGCACATTTACTTATTTTGTGCGCACAAGCCAAAATAATAGGTAAAAGTTGTTCCGAAGTCTACTTTAAATCGCCGAATTACTATGATAAAACCATTACCATAAATTATATTCATTTCTATGAACCATTTTTAATGGTTTTTGGCATGTCCTACATCTTGTGCATAGGTTAAATTTATAACAATTGAAATTCGACACTTTTTCGGTGTTATCCAATCGTGCTAATGTATTCAGCTCTATTTTCAGTTCTGATAATAATGTACAAAAAAAAAAAAAAAATAATAAAATAAAAGCAAATATGAAATTTAAATAATTTTGAGATTGTTTTTAGTTTCTTAATTTTTTTTTTTCGTTAATGTTATTTAATATCATTGTTAATAATTGTTTTCGAACGTAATATGATGTAGATGTATTTCCCGTTAAAAACGTCAACTCCGGGCGATCGGTTTTTATTGATCAGTGATTGATTATATAAATATTGTACATATATTAATAATATATAAAAAGTACTTATTATTTATTTCATATTGATAACACGCCACCGTTCTACTATGTAGTTTAATATAGCGATTTACGTCTTTTTGTACATATATCTTTTTTTTTTTTTAGCACAAGGTCGAACTTTATGTTTACTATAGTTATATAAAAGGATCAATATTATAATAAGAATAAGTGACCTTATTCAAGGGCGTCCATTTTAAAAAATCTAGGGGGACAATGTATGATATATATGTGTAATACATAATGCACAACACCTACGATATAACTACGTATAGCCATAGTGTATTGTAGCAGGAAAAACAAACCTTTTGTAACAAAAAATAATTTCTCGAATAGGCTCTGCAAATCTGCAAATATAGCTAATTATGGTCTCTCCCTAATTTTTTTATGTTTATCAGTATAGTGAATGTCCCGAGAGAAATTAAATGTTTAGAAATTAAAAATAAATATACTAATATTATGAGTATAATATTTGGCTCTAGTCATGAAAAAAAAAATTTGTATGTATAAATTCAGTATATCATTCAAAATAATACGCATACACTAAAAGTTTTCACAAAATATAATAATATATGCATATAAGCAATGCTTATATTATTAAGCATGTAATAATGTCATGCGATATTACTAATGCAAAATCATACACCTACACCGGATATTCTGCTCTGTGTGGTGTGCTAATCAATACCGATGCCTAATGTCAAAATTGTTGTCCTATTTACTGTTAAATACATGATGTTTAATATTATAACGTCAATAATTTGGTATGTACGTTTTTAATCTATGAAAAAAAAAAATAACTGTTCACTATAAAATTATGCTTAAAATAATATATTATTAACAGAATGGTAATTTTATTCCAACAATTTATGATGCTTATTGTACTATTTTTGATTAATCAATTTGATTGAAATTCTGCAGCGTTTTCGAGTCCATACAAACGTTATTTTGGACGGGGTTTGGAGAGATCGATCTTGAAAACTTCGATCTACCGGGCATAAAACCGTACACCAGATTCTGGGCGATACTCATGTTCGCCACTTACTCGGTCATTAATGTCACCATCATGATGAATTTACTCATTGCTATGATGTCGAATTCCTATTCCGTAATCGAGGTGCTGAAATATATTAAAATATGCGTATAACTAACGGTGATGTACATTTATAGCAGATAGATTTTTCGTTTTAGCTTATCGCAAGACCTAGCTAATTACTTAACATATAACTTAATTAATTATTATTTTGTATTATTTTCGAACTATGCAGTAAATTTTAGTTGCTGAATTTTTATTAACAGCTGTATAATATTTGTATTGATGTGAGTCTGAGTTTGACTACATAAAATATTAAATATGAACAGGGCCAATCGGATGTGGAATGGAAGTTTTCTAGAACAAAGTTGTGGCTCAGTTGTTTTGAGGAAACGCCTACGCTACCATCTCCCTACAACGTGTACCCTAATCTGAAACAACTGAAAAAATTCTTTCATTTTATATGCAAATTCAAGAAGATTCATCGTGACTGGTCACAGGTAAGAATGGTACGACTATAACAATTGAATAATAACACACAAATTTGTTAATAAATAATAATTATTGAATACTTGATAAAACCAAACTGAAACAATACCGTGCGTTATGACATTTCACGTGGAAAATTCAAAGTTAAGGTTTAGATATATTTCTATATTTCTGTATTTCTATATTAATAAAAGGAAGTATCGTGCTGTACAGCCTAATATATCGCACACAGAGGTCTGAAAATATGAAAATAAAACACCTGAAACGTCTTTGCGAAATTCAACTCCTAAAGAGTGGTCGACACAGTGTTATGGTATTTTTGGAATCTTCTTCTTTTCCTTCTCCTCCATTTAAACTATTTGGGGTTGACTATCCTCGTCATAAACTTACATTTGACCTAGTTTAACTTATCATGGAAAAGGAATTATAATCCTATTTAAAAAATAATTAATTACCGGTTAACAACGATTAATTTTGATAGGGATAGGGTAGGAAACAATCTCGAGGATTCACGAGGAAACATATTTCTATTATTTTTCATTTTTCGTTCAATAACATGCAGTGTGCATGGCCAAAGCCATGTGAGACCGCTAGGGTTATTTTATATTCTATATACAAAATAGTATTGAGTCATCAAGAATTTATACTAGTTTACCTCCTAGGAGATTTGCTCTTCATTTGCTCTTCACTTATTGTTCTTTCTGAACTTATTTTTAAGACATTTGCACATCGTTACATTTTATGTCATACGTCATTTATTTTGTGCCGTAATTTTTATCACACCTATAGATAAATGGTTGCGAAACTGCCTATGCTCGGCTACTCAAAAATAACTTCTTATCAAAAAATTTCATACCATCAGCGCTCCCTGTGTATTTCTCACGAACTATAACTATACTGATAAGTTTAGTTCTAATATATTAATTATTGTTGCCTATATCAGACCACACTACTTGCTTGATTGGCTGTTTATCAGTTTAGGTCAAACTTTGGTGATATCTGATTCAGAAGCGTCTTCAAATCAATCACACCGGAAGGGGGAATAATAAAATCCTGTAAGAGACTTAGCCTCCTAAAAGCATGCTAATTCCTCATGAAATTAGTATTTTATATAATAATTCATTTTTAGAGCAGTCGAATCCTATTTTCTAAATCGTCTCTAGTTATGTGGGATTTGAAAATTATTTTGCAACATTTAAAACCTTAAAGTTAAATTGTTTTCACTAATCTACTGCCTGATAGGTTTTATGGATGAAAATGACTTCATGGAAATAAAACTCTTACTCCTCTTAAAACACTCAAATTTCAATATTTTATTATTTTTATTTAAGAGAAAAAAACTTTTTATAGGTTTAAATGATCCCTAATTTTAAATAAGTGACTAATCATTTATTTTTTTTTTAGGCTTTACGAGCCATTTGTACTTTTTGCCGCCAATACTACTTCCTTCCATTGCTTTTTATCATAAACCTGCTCCCAGTCCACTCCAATTTCTTCTAATAATTCCTTGACGTTGTCCTTCTATCTTTTCCGCGGTTTTCTCCTTATCTCTTTCTCTCACCATATGTGTCATTGTTCTTTTCAACATGCTTCCATAAGCCTGGAATATCCCTAAATATTGATAAGTGTAACGTTATATCATTTTTTAGATCTCGGGTTCCACTTCTCCTCTTTTATTATTATTTAAATAAGTCTATTTTAACACGAGTTAATGATATCAATGACTTAGGTATAATATTTGATTCCACTCTTTCTTTCAATAAATACTTATTATATAATACAAGTAAATCTTCAATGATTTTAGGCTTTATTACAAGGAACTATAAAAATGTCCCGTTATTCTAAAAATGTTATATACTTCTTTGGTACGAGCCAAATTAAAATATAATTCTGTTGTTTGTTCTCTTTATATTAAGTATCAAATTTACTGCTTAGATAATATACAGAATCATTTTCTACGTTTTTTAGCCTTCAAATGTAATATTACTCGTAAGTCGTACTCAGGTACGGGGGTACTATAATACTCAGGTCAGGTACAGTTTATATATAGATGTTCTTTAGCTTTACTTGCCAACAAATTGAACATAAAAAGGGCTTTCAGTGCATAAAGGCAACGGTTTGCTGCACTCAACCTGCTATTGATCTCTCTATGCACATTGCTTTGGCTATTTAGGATAGTACCGAGGTACTTGAACTATTGTACTTGTTAAAAGTTGTTATTTTCCACGTGGAGGTTATTTGATCACCCCTCCTCGTTTTACCGTCATGTATTTATTTTTTAGGCTTTTAATTTTCAAGCAAATAGCTTTCCCATTTTTATCATTTCTTCAACAGTACTCTGAATATTTTCTCGTGATTTCTCAATGACTACTATGTCGTCTGTTCATACTAGCAACTAGCAAGATATTTCCTTTGTCAAGGTTTAATGTTTTAGTTCACGATATTTTTCTTATTGCACTCTTCAGTACCATATTGAAAAGCACTGCAGATGATATCGCATCCATCCCATTGTTTCAGTCCGATATTAATCATAAACGAAGATTATAATTCGTTGTCCATCTTGACTCGACTGATAGTCTTCGTGTTACATGGTTATATCATGTTGCTTAGTTTAGTTGGTATACCAATATTTTTAAGAAGTTTTCATAGTTTTTCATTGTTTATGCTATTGTAGACTTGCTTATAGTCTAAAAATACCAAATATAGCGAACGTTCACGACCTCATATATTTTTCTATAATTTGTCTTCAACAAATCTGTGATGTGGTTGATTTATTTTTTCTAAATTCGCTTTGGTAGTTACTTACTATCCCGCTATATTTCCAATATTTTGAAGAAGATTAATAATAATACCTTACACCCAATATTCAGTAGTGTGATTCTTTTTTAATTCCCGAGTTTATTTCGGTTATCTTTTTTGAAAATTGGGCATACCAATGATTCATTCTAGTCTTCTGTTATCTTTTCCTTTGTCCATATTTGTTGGATTACGTTCATTTTTGTGTTAGATTTGGTTCTCCTGATTTTGATAGATCAGCTACAATTTTATCATCTTCTGGTACTTTATTATTTTTAAGAGTCTGGATTACATACTATATCATTTCTAAACTCGGGTTTAATACTTCTATTTCTGATATGTAATATACGGTATCTTCTTGTTTGACTACTCCCATTGTTGAATCTCCGATAAGGAATTTTTTAAAGTACACTCTAAATTCCTCGATCATATTCTCCGGTTTGGTAATTACAGTACCAATATTATCTTCTATAATTTATATAATAACTGGTGTAAATCCATTTTTGGATTGTTTTGTAGCATTTGAAAAATTATCTGGAGTTGTGATTGAAGTTTTCAATGTCTTCTATCTTCTGATTTTATGCTATGATATTCTACTTTTAAGTTTAGGTAGGGTAAGATAAGTGGAGCACTATAAAATTCCACGTGCCGTGATGCTATATAAATGATACTACTCCCTCTACTCAAACTTATTAGTGGATTATATCGACAACGGGTTGATAAAAATCAACAAGTAGGTAATCGTTCCACTCCCAAAAATAAGAGCAACAAAAAATAATGATAATGTTTCATTTTAGATCCCCTTTTAGAGTTTTGAACAAATTCAATACTTTGAAAAATAATGAATATTTTACATTCAATTAATAAGTCTGATAATGGTTTTTACTTTTTAAAACATAATAAAATTGACTCGAAAACCATAGTATTACAAAAATAATAATAACTTAATATAATTAAGGATTAAATATTTAACTGGTTAAGTAATTTTTTACTGCAGAATGATCATCATGATAACGTCATTATTACTCAAAATCAAAGAGAAGATGAATTCGCGACGGTAACGCGAGCACTTATTTGGCGATATATTTCTATGAAACACCGGGAAATGGACAACGAAGGTGTAACTGAAGACGATGTTAATGAAATCAAGTCCGAACTTAGTACTATGAAATACGACTTCCTCGAAGTACTTCGAAAAAACGGTATGGAAGTTCCTAGCGATCATCGTAAAAATACCAGTAAGTAATTTATACTTATTTATTTATAAATATTTATACTTATATTTGTGTACAATTTAACTATCTGTGCTTCCATAGTCTATATTATATTATTGTATTTTATAGTTTATACTAATATTATAAAGAGGTAAAATGTGTTTATTTGTATGTAGGGTAATCTTTGGAACTACTAAACCGGTTATAAAAATTATTTCACAAACAGAAAGCTACACTATTCCTAAGTAATATAGGCTATATATTATTTTGATAAAAATAAATTTTCAATTTAAAATCTTAATATTTATAAATCAATTCATAAGAAATAACGTTGCTTGGCTGCTTTATTGATGTTTGCTGACCAAATAGTTGGATATACGTGAAAATATTCGTGATTTGTCATCGGTAAATTTAAAAGAAAATTTAGCGACACAATCTAACCTGTCTATAAGGCACGCGTAAGGCGTAGAAATAGGTAGAATTAATGGGGCGGGGAACGTTATTTATCATAAATGAAAAAGTTTGAATGTTTGTGATATAAGTAGAATATGTTTTAGATTAATAAATAGGACATGTTTTATCCCAAAATTTAGCCATTAAAGGGTAGCTGCTGATAAAAAGTTTTTGGTAATATAGGAACGAAAACTGAAATAGTTTTGTTCGTGTTGGGTTACTTTAGCAACACATATGAAATAAAAAACAGTTATTATTAGTCAATTTGGTTGTTACGGGCAATAATATGTACCTTAAAAAATCAGACTTTAATAATCCAAAATTCAGATTTACAATAATACATTTTGATTTTTAGATTTCGAAAATGTACATTTTCGGACTTTCGGATAGTTCAATTTTTTCCTATAATTCAAACTTCAGTAATATTTTTTTACGCAGTACACGTTTGTTATACTCTTTTGATTTATACGAAATGTATACACCTACATTGTTACCTAGTTTAATTTCATTAAAGATAAGAGAGTTGTGTATCTATTTTTATTATTTGTTAATTGCATGCAGATAGCGCCTGTACGACGAAGGCAATTGAAAATGTAATTTGTTTTAACTATCAGTTTTTCTCTTAAGAATTTTTTAAAATAATTATTATTGCAAATTTCGTTCACTTTATTAATGATACGCTTCAAATAAAAACGAAATCTTAGACCGAAATACGTATATTATTATTATTATTACATTATACTCGGCGTTAACAAAGCATTTTATAACCACAAGATATTCCGCTCTGATTCTGTATTATTTACATAATAATTAGGCAATCGGTATTTATTTCTATAAAATACATTATCATACATAAATATCAATAAAAAAAATTAAAATATTTTCCCTAATCTTAAAAGGTTGGGTACTCGTTTCCCAGTATTCATCCCGATTAAATTTCAGAAAAATATTGTTTAAAAATAATATTACCTATACCTCTAAACAACCATGTAAATTATGTACATTGATATAATTATCATAATAGGTATGTATATCTGAAACCCGCAAATGCGATCATAAATTCAATTATAGGTACCTAACATTATATTATATTTGATTCCAAGGGAGAAGGGCCTGAGTCAATTCTTAATCATTTTCCCTTTGTTTTTTCTAATTTTAATTAATGCAGTTTTTCCCCCTTCAATTAGAGTAAATCGACATGGATAACAAATTTTAAAGTGGCGAATAATTTCGAGGAAACCAGGTGGCTTTTTTTCTTTTTAAAATACCCCCTTAATAAAAAAGAACTTTTTTTAAAAATTATAACTGTAGCTTTAATGTTTGACAATATTTTAGAAAAAAATCAATGAGGCGCCATTCGAAAAATATTTGAATTATTTAAATTTTGTTACCAGAGTTTAAATTCTGACGTTTTAACCTAAACGCCGTAATTTTAATAATTCTACAATGTTATAGGTACGTATACGTAAATCGCCCGTCAATCGGACTGAGACAGTAAAAACACGGAAATTGTACGAACGAAATATATTGTAATATTATTAGGTACCTATATCTATTTCTGATGATTCAGAAAATATTGACTACCTATGCCATAATATTATATGAGTTTTTAATTGTTTTTAATATTTATTATATTTTGTATTATATTTCATACACACGAGTATAGGTATCGGCTTACACCACGTGCACAACTCGATTTTATTTTATAAAAACGATTAAAATATGTTTTATTGCATACGGCGATATTTTATTCGTACATAATATTATACATACATTATATATTTTGTCTGTTGAATTTTATCACCCAATTATATTTTAAAAACAAAACGAGCATACGCATATTTGTATTGCCGTATTTGTTACCTAGCTACTCAATAAATTTCAGCCGTCTTCAATAATATTTGGTCAATGATTATTTTTTCAATTCAAATAATATTATGCTTCGAGATTATTACCTGTTGTATATTATTGGCAATACTTGTCAACTCGTTATTTCGGTACTCGGACTTTGAATAAGAAAATTGATATTTTTTTAATATTATTATTTTTATTTTCTCTCGGTTAAATGGTTAGAAAAAATAAGATAATAATTATTATTGTTTACGTATGTATAATATATATTTATTTTCTATTGAATACAATAAAGAGAACAGAGAATAAATTAGAGAATTGGAAGAGTAGTCATTTTTTTTTTTTAAATATTAAGACAATGTAACCATTCGATTGTGGTCCGAGACTACCTATTGTCAAATGTTGGGTTCCGTTCGACAAAAAAAAGTTTCAATTGGATTATTATTGAAGGTAAAATATCGGATGTACTGATTAAAAAATAATGTAGTCCATAAAGGTGACATATAATGACGAATGTAGGCGTATAAAAAAAGTTACGCAACGCTGAATAATTTTCAAAAAAGCTTACCCTATTTCCCCGTGCCCTTCAAACGTTTTATAGCTATACGATAACGAAATAAAAACTGTAATAACAACCCACTTTATTAGTTTACAAATTGTTTGTAGAAAACAGCAATATATAAATTAAGCAGTTTTCTTTTGATATTAGACATTTTTATAATAACCAGTTATGTATAATAATTCCTTTTTTTCCTATGGTGAACTGCGTGTCGTAAGTTTCTTTTTTATTTGTATGTATTATTCGCATGCACTCAATACGTCACGAACCCAACGGAGATATGTTTATAATTTTTTTTATCTATAAAAAAAAAACGGCTGCAAGCAATTTAAAAAAAAAATGTGTAACGTTGCCAAATATTTTGTCCAAGTCATTTTTAATTAAAACAAAAAATAACGCTCAGAATCAAAAAAAATGAAACATAAAACAAAAAACATATTGATTAAACCAATATGTTTAATTTCTGCGATGTAAAGACATTTTGATTAGATACTATATTGTTATGTACCTACTTGAGTATAGTATTCATCCATCATTACTTAGTCGGGTTTTATTAAATATCACGAAATACCTATAATAATATAAATAAAATATACCTATAATAACGGAAAAAAATTGAATAAATTTAATAAATAATTAATTATTTTACCGGAAAACGGTGAATATTATTACAAAAAAATGTTATTTTATCCGACGTGCGATCTGGTGATGGCTAGCCAAGATGCAGGGCATTCGAGCACAAAGTCGCGTCCATTGTCGAAAATAACTACTATGACAATTTTTATATTAGAAATGTATTTATTTTTTTTTAAGTATTTTATTAATACTTAGCTTTTTAAATTTAAAAGATTATTGTGAAAAATAAAATATACCGTCTATGCGACAAATATTTTAAAACGTCTAGACAGAATATGTATTTTTAGATGATGTGGTAACATTTAGCTAAAAATTTAAAATAATACATAATAATATATTATTATGTTAGCCAATATTATCACGTTTTGCTGATTTTCTTTTTTTTGTGGCATAATCTTTATTTCTTAATGGACGCGTTAGCCATCGTTATACGCTCCATTTTTCTCTTTCCTAAACTATTTTATTTGTTTGAGTTTTTCCATTCCCGTTTTACATTATGATAGCCATCAACTGTATAAGACTTAGATCTTTTCTCTTCTCTTGAATATAATTCGTTTTTATGTTTCGTATTTATCGCCACTGATAAAATGTCGAAATAAGATACCTGCATGTGAGTTATATTGTGTTAATTCAATTTTTTTCCTTTCAGTGGTGGTTTTATGGGAGAGGACGATAGATTGAATAATGCCCCTTGCGCTGTGACTTCTAACAATTTTATTTTTATTTTTTACCTAAGGAAAATAAGGACAATTTTTTTACGTTGTTTAAAACTTAAATATATTTTTGTTTATGATTTGTAATAGCACTGATAACGGAGGGCGAGAGATTATTATTTATTTATTTAGTAGTATACGATATGAATTAAATACTTTTGTTCTCTTTTAAGTAGTGTGGCTTTTTGGAAGTTTATTTAAGTTTTTTTTTCTTGGGTAATTGGGGGGGGGTATAAAGTAATTTTGAAAATTTAACTATTCTCGTCTTACCTCCCGTTGAACTTAAATTATCACCACCACTGTTTCCTTTCCTATATACAATGCATGCCAACACATTCTTGTTTTTTACATGATAATTACTACTGACGAATTTGTCATTTAAGTAATTCAGCGTATTATAGTAAAATATAATTGACTTGTACGTTAATTTTAGATTTTTCACAGAGAATTTTTTTATGATTTTCGGAGAAAAAAAATTATAATTTACTCTTGTACAACAACTTCATAAAAATTTACTCCGAGTGATGTTTTGAAAGTGTTCTGCATATTATTAGCTTTTATTCGGCTAGTAAAAAACAATTGGACATTTATAGGTCTTATTTATTAATCATTAGTGATTTATTATTACTATTCATAATTTGCAAACGATTAATCTAACCTAACAGTATAGATGACCCAGAAATCATGACCAGTTTGGGATACAGCTGTATAAAATAAGTTCTGACGAGTATAAATGATATATTCAATTTTGAATAACGATCTTCGTTGTTTTCACCTGAACATTTTTATTTGAGGCCGTTTGTATTTATTTACGTATCAAATATGTCGTACACGGATATCTATAGATCGAATATTTAATGCGGTGCGATGCGATTTGCTTGGTGGACTTTATTCACGAACAAATTATGAAACTAAATTTACAGTGCCGATTATTTTATCAGAGTATAATAAGTTATTACAAAACATCTTAGAATCATTCGGCAGACGTAATCACACGCACGTGCGGGCAACCAGTTACAGATAATGTCGTGTATTATCTTTTGTAAATTCTAATTTGTTACGTGAAATATAAAATGTAAAATAACGTGTTTTAGTATACAATAATTTAAAGTAGAAGACCATTTTGTGGGAGGAATATTATGGAAAAGTCGTCCACTAGTGGTAGACGAGCATTTTTGTTTTTAGTTTATATCAGTGATTTTCAACATTTTTACGAATCACGAACCTCTATTTTTTTTTCTGTAAAAATAAAAATTCATATTAATTGTTTAATAGAACTTAAGTATTAGGATGTACATAATGATACTTAAAAGTTATTACCTATTGTGCTGGTGACGCTTTAACTATCTGGTTCAGAAACACTGGTTGCCACTATACCACTAACGGAATTGGTAATTTTAAAGGTTTTTCATGTAGCGTCAAATTTAAAGACCACTGTGGAAAAACTTAAGGAGCTACTTAAACAAACGAAAATCTGACCAACCAAATAAAATTGTTTGTTACATGATGAATTGACAATTTTCCGATAAATATCAAATTTCACGAGACTTTAAATACTTGCCAGTACTTACCAGACAAAATTTCGTACTGCTAATATTATACCTAATAGGCATTTTTTAGGCTGCAGTTAATGATTAATTGCAGACATACACTTGTATTTCAACTCCATGGCATTTTNAATATTATACCTAATAGGCATTTTTTAGGCTGCAGTTAATACTTTATTTCAGACATACACTTGTATTTCAACTCCATGGCATTTTTTCACGGTAATATATTGATGTTTATATTAAATGATATGATTGTATTAAAATACATGGATATCTATCAATATTGTTTAATATATTTGAGTACTGTAAAACTTGTAAACTATTAAATCACACTAGTTTGTTAACTTTTACGTAGTATGGTTTTATCTCTCGAATTTGAAATAACAAAAAAATTTAAATTTTCGTATGAAACATGGTGGCATAAACGTAAATATCACAATTTGAATAAAAACAATCTATCAGCAATATTGTTAATAATTTGAATACTTTGAAAAATAAATGAAAAGATTTACAAAGATGATGGTGAATGGACATCCAATTCGTGAAAAAATTACACTATCCTGAAAATCTATTTTATATTGTATATACAAAAAAAATATCAAAATTTAATTTGATATAGGTGCAGATAAACATAAAGTCTCGAAATGTCGAAATTTATCCAAAAATTATCAATAATTGTTATGGATTATTACGTGAAAAATAATTTCGTTAAGATTTTAACGCGTTAAAAAATTAAACTGATAAGTTTTGACACGGTGATGGTGACATAGTTTGATGTTTGAATCTGCAGCATCCGTCTCGAATCGCTGAAGAAAGATAATTTTTGAATGTATTATACCTCGTATAAATATAACAATATCTTATATATATATATATTATATAAAAAAAATTCGGTTCTATTTTTAGCGTCCGCCATTGTTCTTTACAACCGACTTTCGATTATTGTCATTGTTATATGGTGAACAAAACTTCAATTAAATACGAGTACACGTTATTGTATATGAAATTATTATTTGTATACGTTAAAGTTATACCGTAAAGTGAAAACATTATAATATACAACGTAATAGAAATTCTGACAGATTCAATATAAATGTATGGATTTATAAAACACGAACAATATGCAGGGTAAATTTAAGATATCGCGATGTCCGTAGGGCCACATGTGATAACAATTTTAATATGTCTTCAGTGGCGAAAAAATCTAGAATTCATCAATGAAGGGAGAAGGGGTGATTAGAGGAGTTTAAGGGGGTTAAATGGTCTACAATCATCTTAAATTTATCTATAGCTAAAAAAGCGAAATGTAGGGAGGGGGGGTTACAACATTCAACCCACCCCATGGCTACGTCAAATTTACGTTCAGCAGGAAGAAAAACCCAATTATGAGGCAAACATAGTTAACGAAGAAAAATCGTAGAAAGTTTTGTGTGTGATGTACAATACTTTATGGTACAGAAACCTGGATGATACTCAAAGCAGAAACAAACAGAATCGAAGCGTTTAAAATATAGTGCTGAAGAAGAACACTGAAAATTAATTGGACAGAGAAAGTTAAAAATGAATATTTACCTATACTGTAGAGATTTATATGAAAAACAATGATGGAGAAAAGATAGATCGAAAAAAGAGATGGAGAAGCTGGAAGATGTAGATAAAGAACTCCATTTATAAAATAGATACCCTTAAACATACATATTTTCGACAAGTGGTACTTTTTTTGAAAACTGTTTTCTAGATTATCCATTAATTAAAACTTAAACAAAAATTGAAAACAAATGACGATACATTGGTTTTATATTAGTTGATATTTTTTTTTCTCGTAGCCTAGGTAAACGAGAGAAAATATATCGAGATACCGATAAACGTGTTATTCAAAATACATTTCTACTGTTAATAATTTCAATACGTTTACGTAGAAAGGGTTAGAGGATGGAGGCGGTGGGTGGAGGTAAGTCGAGTTAGAGCTTCATTGTGTCAACATACTTGACGACTCATCGAAACGTATTTGTCTTTCCCGGGATGGCTGCTGACTGCGTTTTGAATTTTATTTAGTACAAAGAAAATTTATTGTGTGATCTCAAAGAACGTAAATAGAAAAATGCATGTGCGTCGAAAAAATTATGATACGAATGACCGGATGTGATGGGTATTACATAGATTATATACGCATACGCGTATAAATGTAATAGTATAAGTGTTATCTGTGCCGTATCTGGAGCTCAATCAAAGAGGGAGGGGGAAGAGTTTAAAAATTTAAATACTCACAAAATATCGTAAGAGGTTTCCTCGTTCCAAAAAAAAACATCAATTATAATATTTTCTCGTCAATTAAAAATAATAGTTTATAGGTATAAACTATAGGTGTTATACAAAAAAATAATATGGACATACACCGCACTATGGGTGGGCATTTTTTTTCCTACATTTTTCCTGTTTTTTTCAATTTATTGGGAACACTCCTGGGAAAATCAAGAAATTACCTTCTTAAAGTACCACCTCAGGAAAATTCCCTTGGTGATATACTTAATACTTCAGAGCAAGATTTTTCGTAGAATTTTTGTACACAGTATAAAAAAATAAAAAAAATTAACATCACTGTAAATTAATACATTCCTCGGTCTACTCAGAATCTAAAAAAAAATTAAATTCTGTTATTTTTAACTACCCATAATTATGCAACAAGCCGTTATCGCATTCGTTAAATGATTTTTATTACTATGGTTCATTAATTGTACACTTTATTTTCTGAACTTTAAAAAATTACTAAAAATCATAAATTTAATGAAAATTAAAATTGATACATTAATATTATCAAAACTAAAAACCCAACAAGTATAAATGGCTATCTTTAAATTTTTAAAAATAATAAAACAAACAAGTTACTTTTTTAAGTTTTTTACTAAAACATAAAAAAGTCAATTGAAATATAAATGTTTGTAGTTCTTATCCCTGTGAATAAAATCTTCGTAGAACACGCTATATAATGTACATAGTATACATATTCATATATGTATAGTATATATATATATATATATTTATATCAGACAATTGTATAAAAAATATTTACAATTTTAAAGCAATATTAATCTCTTTTTCCTCTGCGGCAAAACGATCTATGACCACAACTTGGACATCCGCGTGGATATTTCTATATATTATTGACACAAAGCGCCCTATATTATTATTACTAATTTTTGGTAACGCTGATAAAAAGACCCTTGAAATAATAAATATCACGGGTATAAATACTGTATTATTTTATTACCTATAGGCTATAGCCGTGATTCAAAAAATCACAGCTAAAAAATTCTAAGGAGGGGGCGATTCACTCAATATCCTCTCCTAAAATATGCCATTGCGTATTATAATATTATTTAAAGATTTATTTTTTCTTAAATTAGTATTCTATTCTAATAACATCATTTAAATGATTAATTATCTGTATGAAACCTTGAAATAATGCATAACAATCGGTTTAACAATATATTTAAGAAACTCGTACATATCACAAAAATATTTAAACTATATCGTAAGTAAGCAGTTAAAAATGCATATTACACTTTTAAATCGAAATTTATCAAAAAATACGTTTCACACAGTTATATTCAGAATCATTTTGTTCAATACAATTTTATTTGAAATGATTTACCATTGTGAGTATTGTAAAAACCAAACCACCCTATACATGGATATAATATTAGAGTGACCAACAGTTTTTTTTTTCTTAGGCGTAAGTTTATATTTTATTTGTTACAAGTGTAATAATAATAAATGATATTGATGACTTCGATGATATTGCGTTATTCAACTAAAATCGCTATTCACAAACTGGCTTTTTTTTTTCGTGAATTAAGATTCGATGTTATTGTAACCTTCTTCTCGTCGGGGGGATTTTACCCTCTCGTTCTATCCTAACACTTCGTGGTTTATCATCGAACATTTAGGTTTTAGGCTTATGTACTGAGAGATTATCGTTCCGAACGGTCGTGATCAAGTACGTGGTTTAGTACGTTCTTACACAAATAATACGCGCATTTAACATGTACTCTAACTGGTTATTATAAATATAAGTATAGGTGTTAAACCAACAAATTCGGTTCCCGAACGTATAACTATTAATTTTTCGGGTACAAATTGAGTTTGGTATCCGAACGCCTTGCGTCCTAAACTGAACTGACACTAGTTCATACTAGTGCATAGATAATCGCGGTATTATTTAATAATATATTTTTATTTTTTTTATCGTTTTTAGTGAACAAAAAATCTAAAGTCTGGGAACGTCGATTGATGTCGGACTTTTACGTGGCGCCAGTGTTTCCGGGAGGCGGTTCCGACCGTATGTGCGTTAGTAGTAACACCAACACGGCCGCCGAACACCAGCGGCCCATCGACCGGTTCAGAAACGCGGTCAGAATGGTGGCGGCTCAATCGACGTCCGGCAGATGGCGGAACACCATACGCGGCGTGTACCAAAAGTGAGTGTACCTAAATATGTCTCGACGACGTGATAGAAAAATCACCTTAAAGGCGCCGAGGTAATAACACACTCGAACACGACTTATCGGCGACGACGCGTTTTTAATTGTGTTGCAGCTCGCCGATAGGCACCACGGCCAGGCCCGACTCGTTCGTCAACAAGCTGAACCTTCAGTGGGCCATGAACGAGGTGTGCACCATGCGGGAGAAACAGTCCGACACGCCAACGCCTCCGACCACGCCCGTCGATTGCGCTAGGCCGTCGTACCCGTTCCAGCTGCCGGGGCGCCGGAGCACTTTGCGTGCGCTCATCGACGAGTTCCGCCGGTCCGAGCAAGAACATCGGTCCGACAGTGGCGGCGGCGGCGGCGCACCGTCTTGGATGGCCGGCTCCGCAGCTATGGCACCGGGGCAGCTGTTGAAAGCGCCGCGGTCGTCGCAACGTAATCTGTGGCGTGATACCGCGGAGAGCGTCATGAAAAAGAGCGCGTCCGTCTGGTACGCCACCCCGCCGGCGCCCGACAGACCACTGGTGTCCCGGATGAGCATGCCCAACATGGGTTTCCGGTTCCCCGAACGTCAGCAACACATCTGCAGTCCATCCGTCGTCGTCGAACGGATACCGGAAGAACACAATTGATATCATGCACCGATGCAACGACACGCAATTCAATTCCTGCAGTGGTTGGCATGACGTTCGTAAACTCCCGGGGAATTATCGTTTTATTCAGTATTTGAAATAAATTACACTCTATATTATCCGATACGTTCCCCACTTCCCACCGATACCAGAAGATAAGTCATCGGAACTTCAGTATACTTTCTTTTTCCAATCCCCATAACCGGCCTTAGGACGATTTGATTATCGTGTATTCCATTGCTTCTTCGGAGATTCAGGTTATCGTGACTGAACCCGAAGAAAAAATTTAAAAATTGTTTTCAATTTAATCGTACGCTAGGGTTTGGTTGTTTTTTCGAGTCTATATATATATATACTGTTTATTCGTAAAAAAACATATTCTGTTTTATCCTACTTGTATGGTATAGGATCGTATGACTTATTTGGTCAGATGATAAGTGTTACACTTGTTTGTTAAGGCGGTGTATACGCTATAACATTTCCACGACAAAAACTTTGTACGACTTGCTGATTTCAATATTTCATATTAAAGTTATTTTTTATTTTAAATATAGTGTACATTTTTTATTTGAAAAATAATTTTATTTTAATCAATATTATATTAGTATATATATCTTTACAATAAAAACAGTATTAAAATACTTGTCTTAAGACTGAAGATTGAACTGATCGTGTTTGTGTTTGGCGAGTTGACGGAAGCAAGTTTTTATTCAAAATATTTGTTAGTTATTAGAACCAGTGGCGGATATAGGATTTTGTTTCGATTGAATATATCACTTCTTAGGGTTTTTTTTTGTATTCTATTATCTACATAGTATCTACATATTGTAAAATATATTATTTATTGTCATTCGTCAATGTGTATACAATTTTTTGAAAATTTCACAATAGAGAACAAATGGAAATGACTGGAAATTGTGACCAGACGGAGAAGCTTAGAGCAAAAAAAAAAAACAATGTTAACAGATCACTGGAGTATCGATGTGAAATTACGGTATAACGTTCGAGTATTGATGTTCAATACAATTATTCGTTATTCACGGTCGTATTCATAAACGAAGAAAACTACTCCTTGAAAAATCTATTTAATTCTTCATTATTTTAAGCGCAGTATTACTATTCTCTATATTAATTAATAGAACAAATTGTAGGCGCCGAAATGTTGCGAAATTGACATTTCTGCGGTCGTATTATTTGACCAATAAAATGGAGTATAGTATCAATAAATATTTACAAACAAACAATACGGCTATAAATAAATATATATAAATAATAAATTCAACATTTGTAATAATAATGGGACCAGAAGTAGTAATAATGAAGAATTTTATTTACTTTGAAATTTTGTATAGATAAGTGAGTTTGACTTAGCGACACTGTTTTATAGGGTTTTTAAAAGAATATCAGATTCTATACTTAATCAGTTCATTTCAATACGCACAAGAATAGGTTCGCGTTTAACCGGAAAGTAACGGTTTGGGTCAAAACTAACAAGGTCCATTAGTAAATCGTGTGAGTTTTGATATACTTCATTCTTTAATCACGATTAATCCGTGTCAAAAATCATATGATTACATAATTATGTATATGAAAATTTGCATATTCTGTTTCAAAAATCAACAAAACTCGCATGTTCCGAACTTCACTCTCAAAAAAAATACATGGATAACAAAATCATAATTTTAATCTCCTAACCTAGCTTACGTCAGAAGAATGCATTCTGGATTTTTCTACTGTTCAGGAAAACCTTTTCCCAGTTTCTTTTATTTTGTGAAATACCAATATTATTTATGAATTATTTAAGCTTTGATTCTAGCCTACTTAAATACCTAATGTATACCAACTACTAATTTGAATCCGAAGTGCATGAAAAACTCGATTAAGCGTTCAAAATAATTAAAATAAATTTAAAACAAACTCGGTTTAAAAAATAAAAAAAAAAAAATAAATTTAACTTGGTGGTTTAAATTAATTTCAAAGTTCAAAGTTTAATCGCAAAAAAAATGTGTTATTAAATCGACTCAATTTAAAAAAAAAGTTTTCATGTTTAAAGACGTTTTATTTACATTAAAAATGTGCATTGTTAAATATTAGATGGGTACATTTTAATGATAGTTCAGAATCGTAAAAACAAACTTAGTCTACAGATTATCACAGATATACATATCACGGTACAGCTGATTAAATTAGAATGGAATTACTAGAAAAAAAACTCAATATTATTTTTTTAACCTTTATTTAACTTGACTTAGTATTTATTTTAAAACTAACTGAAAAATAATTTCGTATTTCTATAGAAATAAAAATATAAAATAAATAATAAAAATAACTATTTTAGTTAACGACAAACAAATATATCACGACGATTAGGTTAAAGTTTTTTTTAAACAGATTAGCTTTTAAACTTGCTATAGAAACAAACAGACCGAAATAATTTAATGGCCAGTCAATATAATAATGTCGGTTTTCGATTGTTAATTACCGTGGGATTCACATTGCATTTTATCATTGATAATATAGGTATTAATTTAAATATTGTAACTTTCGCTTATCGTTATTTTACATTGTACTTATCGGCAACACTTATTTCTATTGACGGAAGGTAGCGTTTGATCAGATATTTAAAAAGTAAAAGCAAATAATTATGTAAATTAAAATTTAACTTTGATAATTAATGCAACATTATCTTCACTCGAACACGAATATCGATAAAACTTTTGCGGTGCATTAAACATCAAAATATTAGGTATAGACCTAATTTAAAACTAATTGGTTAATTAATGTATTTTAATCCGAGAAAAGTACCTACCTACAATATATAATATGTCGAGAATGATTTAAATTTAAAAAAAATGTGTAAAACGAATAGGTGGATAGGTATAAGTATTATAGGTCATGTTTTAAAATAAGGTCGTCTTTAAATTTAAAGATTACCATTCTAAATTTAGATTATTTTCGTTCGGTCGAAGATGATTTGTTTCTTTTTTATATTCTGCAGAGTGTATAACGAAAAATAGCTATATTCCGATACATGTTTTTTTTCTCAGTACACCCTTTTAAAAATACTCAAAAACTTTTACACCGTACTTAAAAAAAAAAAAAAAAATGTAGATTTTCCGCTCGGTAATAGTCTATAATTTATTTGAAATATTTTTCCATAAATTTGTCTGATATTCCCACTTTCAAAAAAAAAAAAACCAACAAACAACAGTACACGAAATAATGGACAAACTTGAAACGATTGAACTTAGCCGGATGGACGTTGGAAAAGAATCGAGGATCATCTCAAAGCTGATTTTAAAAGTTCCTTCTTTTAGAGCAGAAGAGTAGAACGTAAGGTAATCCATCTACCGAAAGTGATAGTATTATTATAAACAGCATATTGTACAAATGTAGTAAACAACGAACGGAGACAGTGTAAATTTATGGCAATAAAGTGCACATTTTGCGGAATTCAAGAGTTTATAGTATAACCTATGGGTTCTAATAAGTATAAACACATTTTATTTTTGTTGTTATTATTATTATTTTTTAAATGTTATTTTCATAACTGCTATACAAGTTTACGCAATACGTCATATTCGTCCATAAACATTAAGATCGCAGACGTTCCGCTACATGATTGAGGTTTGTAGTCGACTCGACGACCGTTTACAAGTACGATTTTTTGGCAACGCGTACGAAATTTTTCTAGACGGGTGGGTAATATTTCGGCATGAATTTATTTTCATAAATACCGGATTTTAAAATGATTTTTGTCGGCGAAATTAGTTTTCCGACACCTAGATATGAATATCAGCTAGGTGCCGTCATTAATATAATATATTATAGTCATCATTTTCTTTTTAGATTCTGAGGGAAGTAAGGAATATATTGATTTCGTTAAAATGACTGTGAGCTTTTTTTGTATCTGTACAAATCTTGTTCCAATCCAAATTTTTATAGAAACTTTATCGTTTCGGATCTAGTCTCTCTAGAGATAATTTCCCTTGTATTTTTCTTAATAATGGGGAAAACCCGAAAATAAAACTTTACACCTAACAAAAGTTTTAGTTAATTTTGATTTTGCTTTTTTTTTTTTGTAATTCGCTAAAAAATAACGGCAAAGACCTGACATTTTGTACCTACAAATACATGAGACGTAGGATAATTTTCATGATATTTTGGCTTATTGTTTTATGTGGATAAACATTTTTTACCAGCGTTTATTTTTAAAATTTATTTTAGTAACAGCTATTATATTATATTATGATTATATATATGTTTTTAGTAGTTCACCAGTAATCATTAAATGCCAAACGGTCTGGCCGGCAATAATAAAAAAAAAAAAAATTAGAATATATTATTATCTGCGGAGAGCTATTATAATTTCGAATACGATTAATATATTATTATAATATATGTATAATGTATTATTATCATTATCAATATTAAATAGTGCAGCTCTACATTAACTGCTCACGGCATTGAAACCAACAAAATAATTAATTAATTAAAAATATTTATACCTGTGTATAATAGATATAATTTATATTATATTATATACCTACATATACTACCTGTTCTTCTTTGTGTATTTGACCAATCAGAAAAAAAAATTTAAATGTTTAATAAACTCTATGTGTTGAAACAATCATTAAGTACTTACAATACCTAGTGATAAACATTTAGTGTTGAGTTAATTATATTATACACAACCTACACACCGTTCGATCGATGGTTTCAAAAAAAAAAAAAAAAAAAATGAACTATACCTGCATCAGTTATTAATCATAAAATAATTATTATGCCATACCAATAATAACAATAATTTATAAGATTAAATTATATTACAATAATAATCTACAAACAATTATTGCTGTATGCTGCTGTTGCTACTGTTCATATTATATATTGTTTTATCTCCGGCAAACATTAAAACGTGAATTAAGTGTAATTGCTTCCTATTTAAAAAAACAATATTTAATACACCTACTGCATTTATAACATATTATACCTGTCTAGAATATCAGGTGTTGTAATAATTGCAGTAATTATTAGTTATTATATTATTTAATAGGTAATTCAAATTAATTACCAGCTAATTAATCAGTTGTTATAATATTGTTGTCTGCACTCATATACCTATATATATATTTTGATCAAGTACATATATTAAATCTTTGATAGGTTTTGAGAGTAATAACAATGGTTGATAACAGAAATCGGTATTTTGACAATTGAGGGGGTTGGGACGCACAGCTGTTTTCCATACGTTTTTGACCAATACGCGAGCGAAAATAAAATGTACTTCTCAACGCTCAAATTATATTATGAAAGTATGTATGAATTTATTGGTCCTATTGGCACTTCTAGGTTATAAAGAAAATTTATTGTCAATTTTCAGTTTTGCAGGCTTCGAAAATTATTTTTAAATTTCTGTGAAATAACCACATTGTGTTTTTAATTACATTTTGGACGCACTCAATTTTCAATCGAAAAATCGACTTTCGAAATGACCTAGACGATTTATCAACAAATTTATACAAATAATTTTCAAATTTAAATTTCTAATTTTCTATCACGCTTGTAGGTCTAAATTTTAGACTCTAAAATCTTATATTCATCCGAGAAAATTGCAGTAGCCCTTCTTCTTAAATAGGTATAGGGGTATTAAATAAGTTCTCAAATATCATTTATTGAAGTAGTCATTTCTAAATTTTAAAAAATTAGAGAAAATATGAAAAATCACTTCCCAACCTATTTATTTAAAGGGGTTGACAAGTGGTTTTTTAAATCTATTTAGATTTAAAATATGTGTTCAAAGTATAA